AAACAAAACGTATTCTAGACTCTAGAGCATCTAAAATTCGCAGAGAACGTGAGCTATATGGTTTTTTATTGTCGTTATACACCTATACAGGGCGTGACAATATTATACTATTATATCAACGTTGTACACAACATAATTCATATTTTCCAATTAAAAAGTTAAAAAGTTGAATTTTTATTTTTATTATATCATGATTTTTATCAGGAAACCATTATTATTCAAAGAACAGAATATTTTACGATGTAAAAACTATTTTTATAACGTATTATATTGTCATAATTTATTTCATTGCATATTCAATTAATACTTATACAATTGATAATTGGAAAACATATTTAATTTACAAACAACTATATAGTAACTTGATGTGAAGATGACTAAGAAATCTTATTACAAAACTGTCACTTATTTATTTTATACCTATTGAAAGCATGTAACTAATTAAAATAAGTAATTTTAGTGATCAGTTGGAAGAAAAAAGACGAACATAAACCATTTGATGTAAAACGATCAGGAAAAAATAAGACTATATAAAATACTGCAGATGTCTGCCTGACATATATAGGTAGATACCTAAAGCTAAAGCTTTTTCAATAAAAGCATCGAATACACAAAATAAGTTTAAGTACCTATGCTTAGTTTAAGCTTAAAATACTCAGTTTTAATTAAAAAAATGTATGTAAATAGTAATTAATAATTTTAAATAAATTTGTTTTTTTCTTACAGACACTGAACATTTTACTGAAATCCGTTCGTTTCCTGCTTAAGTGATACCATAGCCAAATAGAATCGATCGGCTAAGGCCCAGAACGAATAAAAAAAGTATGATGAGACACAATATACAATTACTCGAAATTACTATATAGCTTCCCGTATTGGTGATTGCATACTATATTACCCATAAATCCTAAACGCTATAAATAAAATTTGTCGCAATATACTTTTAATGTCCAACAACGAATTGTTATCACAAACAAAATCGTTTACGTTTTTAATATCTAGGGAACAAAAAAAAAAAGAGGTTTTTTTTGTATTAAATTGATTTTCTATGTATACGTATTACTCGTGCTTAAAATGTATAACCATCGTTATCGCTTAGTGGAAATAATACTGCAGGATTAACGTTCAAGAATTAAGTTCAACTTTTTAACACTTTTATTAATTTATGTTTAATTTTTACTGAAGCTCACTGCGTTTGAGGACGGAATCATGTAAATAAATAATAGTTACGAAAAAAGTTATTTCTACAGAACCGGTCACTGCAAAAAGTAACAAATGGATACTATAATAAATTACATAAGTATCAATAGATAGTTGAAATGCAATTATTGTTTTTGAAACAAAATTGGTATTAAAACTTAATGTATATCCGTAACAATTTTACAACTAACATTTATGAATGGCCATATTATAAATTCAATGATAAAAAATTACCCTAATGAAAAAACCATTTAAAATATTCATCTTTTCATAAAAGTATTAAATTATTTAGATTTAAATTTTTGAAATAGAATTAAATAAATGCCAAAACTTTTAAACATTATATTATATTATAAAAATTATACTTACATTATACAAATCTTAAAATCATTGTCATCAATACTTTAGGTAACCGCTTAAAAAATAATTTTTTTCCCATATAATAATCAAAATACCTGATGAAATTAAGTAAAAATTGTTGTAGAAAAACTTCAGCGACAACATTACTCTACATACCTAACACTATTATGCGTAAAATATTTAAAAATAAAAACTAATTGTGTTTCAGTAAATAGTTACGCAATGGAAATCGATGAAAAAAAACAAATTATGGGGGTTATCAACTTTGACATAACCGAAGTATATGATTGGAGACATAATATTTTAATTAAATTTAACACTTTAATTCGAAAGTAGACTAATAGAAATAAGATCAAATTCTATTTTAAGCTACTAATTTCAAATAAAGGCCAAGAATTATTTATCCTCCGATTCAGAAGCTCTAAATTCTCTCAATTCGCATAAAAGGCGGAGTACGCCAAGGATAACATCTCCTATTCTCTATTCATAATTTCAATTGATGATAGTAAATAGTCGATAGTCAAAACAGCAATCTATCAATAGAATGCATTATGTCCATAGACGATTTCAATTACTAGAGCAAAAGCAATAACATAATATAATATATCATACTAAATCTATTACAAATGCTAATAATATGTATTGAAAATTCAGTAAAAAAAAAAAAACATGGTTTAACTTTACTCGATAAAAATCTATCCATTCAATATATATTAAAAAGTTGAAGAATTAAAAATCAAATTAAACTAAAAAGAAATTGCCAATAAAAAACGCTGTAAAAATGTTAAAAGTTATATAAACCAGACTAACTTGGTTATCAATGTACAAAGCACCAACAAAAATCAAAAATCAATTCATTAAAAGTAATTAAAATATTATTCTAACTTCATGGAATAATGAAACTAAACCGCTAATAAAAATATAAAAAGCTATCAACCAATCAAAGCTAACCTATAGCATATTATTACATTATTGACAGGACAGCAGCTAAGTCCACATCAAAGCTGATTGCCAGTATTATTTATAACAAGCTAAGACTGGCAGTAAGTAACGGATTCATACTTTCTTAATTTAATATAACACAATATTATTTATTTAATTAATCATAAGAAAAAAAACATTGTTAGGCATTTAGGTATATAAACATATTTTTATTTTACACCCTTTAAAAGTAGTTTAAATAATATCACCTTAATACCTCTTATCAAAATTATACGCAGCTTTCTCTTTAAAACTGAAATTTCTGGACGTGAGTGGTTTAAGTGGACACTGCAAATGATATGAAGCGTCCTATAACCCGTACGCAGGGGCGTATCTAAAATGGTTTTTAGAAGGGAGGCACACACTGTCTAAAATTTTACAAAATATAAAACCAAAAAAAAATAAAAATAATAAGTGGGCCAGGCATAGAAAAAAAAATTATCAGATAAAAAGGCTCGAGGGCCGCCAATTGCCCTAAAGAATAATCGATAAAGCTGTATCGACTTCAATGATAAAAATACTTATATTTCAATTTATTGTTCTTTAGTGCGCTCATATTAAAATATAGTTCTATTATCTGGTCACCGCATATAATATTGGATTAATAACTACCACTCAGTAAAGTTTTTAAAATAAGTTCTTACATTTTTTAGTTTTTAAGTGTGATATACCTAGAACTCCTCATAGATCTTACCATCCTTTACTTACTTAAATCTTGAACCCTGGAACAGCGCAGAATCAGACTTGATTTATATTTTATTTATAAGTTATTAAAAGGACTGTCCTAACTTCTTAAGTCGTCAATTATTCAAAGTTTCTTCAGTCTACACCCGATTAACAAATCTATTTTATCTAAAATCTCAAACTACTAATTAACACTACTAACCTAATATTCTTGAGAATCATTCAGTCTGCAAACAATTATATAACAGAACGATCAGTTTTGTTATGTTTTCTTTCACTCATTTAAAAATCGTGTTTCTGCGTACCTATTTATGCATATAAATTGATATACTTATAATATTATTTATATTTATTAAATTAATTCATGTAATTGAAACCAAATCCGTATAATATTTCAATAAATAAATAATTATTATTATTATTATATTATTTATATTGAAACTGAAATGACAACGACTGTTATGTACCAATATGTCTTATTTATTTCACTGTGTGATCATAGTTTTACTATTGATTGATATTAAGGAAAAATAATCAGTGCAGAATATGGTTCATTATTTACAGTTATACAAAAACCAGTTAATCGAAAAAAAAGTGCAAATAATATTATTTAACAAACTATTTATGAATATAAAATAAAAAACGGATTTTTAAATATTAAATCCACGCAATCGATTACATTATATCGACAAATTTAGAGTTTCCAATAATTCTAGAATAGTATAAGGCTAGGATCACACTATGCGTTTTGTCGGTTCCCGACCAACCGGAGCCGAACCGCAACACTTTAAAATAAAATAGATTTAAATATAAAACGCTTTATCAGGGCCAGACTAGACCGATTTGCGGAACCGATTAAAAACCGTCTGGAAACGACCGCAACGCGTTGCGGCCCAACCGTCCGGTTGCGTTTCGGGATGTAAAGCACAACACATGCAATGCAGTTTGTCCGATCACATTTGGGCGGATTATCGGTAACCGAAATTGAAAATTTTATGAATAATTAATAATCATTTTTAAATTTAAATAATTAAAAAACTTAAAATATATTTGTAATATACATATATATATATATTATATTTTATTTATATTATAGATGTATATTATTATTTATTAGCATAATTAGTTGATACACGTTTTAAATAAAAACAAATAATTCTAATCACACAACCTTTTTATTATTTATTTTTTACTTATAATATTAGATACATTTCGTTTAAATAAAAAATCAGTTTAAAATGTAAATTTAAATTAAAAACGATTTTCGGGCTTTTTAATCTCATTTGTATTTATTCGGTTACCGATAAAACGCACAGTATGATCGATCGTCCCGATTGCGGTTAATCGGGATAGTATTTTTTGGTTGCCGACAAAACGCATAGTGTGATCCTAGCCTAATAGCGGTAGTATTTATTCGTAATCAATATCTTATCCATCATCATTGAGAGCGCAACCGTTAATGCCACAGTGAAAGTGTTTACATAGAAAGGTTACTACTAAAGGTGTTATAAATTACTTATCGATAAACAACAAAAATATGTTAAATTTCTTTTTTAACTTCTTCGTTTTTTTAATATACAAAGGATTTTATAGTAAATTTTATAAAATTAATAAAATGTTTCTTAATATGAAAAAGTATCAAAAACCTATGTAATAATTGACACAATGAAAAAAATTATTTATCACTCGATCGAAAAATATAAAACAAAACAAAAATTAAACAGTAAACATTTTAGAAGCACAACTGTTATTTTGTGTTTAAATATTGCAAAACAATTAATAAAACACTTTAAGTACTATTTTTAAGAATATAAAATAATTAAGTATCAAAATTTTTATTCACTATAATTAGGGACGAATCGAATGCAATTTTATGTGTAGATTACTTCACATTTCGGCTACTCACTGCGGATTCGTGTCGAATATGTCTTTGATGGAAGCACAGGATATTATGTAACTGTCATTTGATAGTTTATCGTCGATCGTACATAGCAACTGTTGTAGACCGAGCTCAGAGGATACCACGTGCATTGTGTTGGCACTCCACTTCGATAAAGGAGCATCTGAAATTCGCATAGAAACACAAGGTGTAGTTTCATTATTGTCGTTACAGAACGTATCAATATTATTAATATTGTATCAATCTTGTACACTACTCTTATTATTTTTTCACAATAAAAAATACAAATCAAAAGTTTAAAAGTTAACTTTTTTTATTATTATATTTATCTAAAAACCATTACTATCCAAAAAGAAAATAACAGACTAATACACAGTGTATAAATTATTATAACTGAATACTAAGCTGTTTACTAGAAAAATAGTACCCGTTAAAACGTACTATCATAATTGAGATACCTATACAATTTTCAGACTTTAATATCAGCAAAACACTTATTAGGAAAGAAACTTACACAACCACTAAATGTTATAAGAAGGTAGGTACTATATTTTTATAATATAATCACATACCTTTTACGTAACACTTGTGTGCTGCCGCTGGAAGATAGATAAAGTCCTTGGGTATTTTACAAATGTCTTTGACATTAGTTAAATACTCTAATCCCCAGTCCAAGAAATAGATCATGTAATTATTGTCATTTTTGTCCACATCGTTGGGAGTTTTCACACATATAGCTCTATACCACAACTCGTCGACTAAAACAAAAAAACATTATTTTTTCTTCAAAATATCAATACCACAATAATAACGCAATAATAAGATGGAAGGGGAGTGGGTAATTTTTAGACGTTGGTCCACGATTATCTACTACTCACCATACTTGGCCAGACAAAGTTCGTTTTCGGCCGGTGTGTAAAGCGGATCGATAGCAGTCACACAGTACTCTTGAATTTTAGATTCCAAATCCGTCAGTGTATCGTCAATCAGATGGTCCCTCATCATCAAACAGTCACCGTTAACACACAAGAACGTCAAAGTTTTCACAGCGCCCTTTAACCATTTTGCGTACTGTACGTCTTTGATTGTTAACATGTTAGAAAATCGCTCGCTGTGCTCGGTGGCATCAGTAGTTTCTCGACAAAGTGTCGTACACTGAAAACGGGAGTATCAACAAATTTTATACAAGATTTCGAATTAAAAAATGTGTATCAAAACATCAGTTTAATTTGGGTACGGTGCAATGACCACTTACTAGTAAGTTTGGTTCGTTGCGGCTGTTGTCGAACTGAAACTGCCCGGAATCTTCAGGAATGGGGGTTGAAGAAAATGACGGTAGCCCGACATTATCCTGAAACAACAAATTTAGAGACATATAAACATATATTTTAGATCGATCAAAAACATATTATTGTTATTAATAAGGCGTTATTTACTATGACGTGTACACTACGAACCAGATCGTCGTAAGATTGATCTACTGTAGATCCCAGCAATACTTCTACCTCTGTAACATTGTCCAACTGCGAAAATACAATTTATTTTGATTCGATTAGACGTAGATAAAAAAAGTAGATATTCTATCATAATCAGTATTTTTTAATTTAGAAAATATGAAAAAATGAATAGCAAGGTCGTTTCAGCGATAATTTAAGAACACAAATATAAATTTGTAATTATGCACTATGTTAACATGATATTTTTCCACGTGTATACTGTGAAAAGTGGAATTTTTTTACGAGTATACAATCGAAAATCTAAATTATTACAAGTCTCGATAAATATTTTAAAAATACTATTTCTCCACCTATTGTAAATACTTGTATTAAAATCCAAAACAAATATCAGATTTTCTAAAAACTGAAATTTTTATAGCAAAAATATTTACATTACATGCAAATACATCAGTACATTATATGTCTTGTTTCTACTGAATACAGTTAATATAAAAATTAAAAGTTATTTTTATCGTCAAGACAATTGTTATACAACGGGCTATACCTAATGATGTTACTACTACTTAATAGATCACACGCCTTAGCGATTCCGATAACGTTCGTATAATCGCTGATTTCTGGTAACCGATCACGAACGGTCGACGCACACACATTACAATAAAATATAATGATACAAACGTCATGGTAACATTCTGGATGTCGCTTAAATTAACAGAATGACCTCCAGCCATAAGACATATACATATCAAAAAATATAATCAGTTCAATATTTTATATTCCATTTATCATCATAGTTTAATAAAAAAATATTATATACTAGTATTTAAATAAATTACCATATAACATATAAAGCAAACATTTAGTACTTAGCTATTTAGATTTAAGATGAGATTTTATAAACATAAAAAAATAGATTGTATGACTTTTATCTAAAATAAACATATTATTGAATTTCAATTAATTAAAAAACCTTACGTGTCTTTTAGCAACGATTCTGAACGTCGTGATTGATAATTTTTCTTGCGGTTCTGGTTGTATCTCAATATTCACTAACTGAAACAATTTGTAATAAATATAGTTTGTTAACATATTTTACTTTAATTTCAGATATCAATGGTATATTTAATAAGCCAAATTGTTTTACCAGATTAATTAAATACTGAGCATTTGTGGAAAATTGATTTAAGATGATCTATCTGTTCAGAAAATATATAATTACAGAAATTATCTTTTCTTCTTTTAATTTGAATGAATTTGATTTTAAATAAGTATATAAATTAATTTAAATCAATATACATTAATAATTATTATCGCAAAAAAATACACATAAAGCCTGATGTTCATTGAACATGCCCTTTGTCCATCATTTGAAGTTTTGTTAAATTGATATACTTAACATAAAATAAAAATATGGACAAAAAAAATGTGGCAATATAAATAAAACGGCTTTTGCTAATAAAATATTTTGTAGATAAAATAAAATAAAATCGAAAAATATGCAATATCACTAACAAAATCTTACTCAAAATGTTAAAACCATAAAAAGTATACACATTAAAAACTATGTAATATTTAATAAACTAAGATGAAAATATTATTTTAAAAATATAATCATTAGGTACCTACCTATTAAATATTTAGCTGTGGGTACAACTTATACAAATTTATTTTCAAGCTAATATAATACAAATAAGTTTTTGACACTAACGGTCGAGCTATTCATTTTTACTTGATTCAATAATCTCATGATAACAGACCTTTGAATAATTAATGTTACAAACTTTTCTCGTTTATTCAAGTCATTTAAGGTATAAGATTTAAATTAAAATAACTATGGTTAGCATAAAATATATTTTAATGAACTAACCATTAACATTATATTAAGCAAGAAATTCAAGTCTCGTAATAATATTTAATAATTAATGAATAAAATTGGTTATTATGTATATAATATAATATAGATATACATAATTTACTATTAAAACTGAAAGTTACTACGTATCAAGAATGATTTAAATAACGAACTTGTATTTTTGATTTATTGAGAATATAAATAAATTAACATCTTAATTGAAAAAAAGTATGTAAAATATATTATACACGATCATTGAACAAAAATATGAGTAGAAATTCGAATAAATATGTAAATTATAAGAACTGAGATAGAATACTTTACTAACTATAAATGAAAAAACTAAATGAGGTATGCCCAAACAGTAATCTTCCGTTCACTATTTCACATAACAAAACCTATAAAAGATGTATATAAATGTAAATTTAAATTTACATGTTCTATATGTAGATCTAAACTGATCGTAAAATACTAAAATATGTATTTACAAATTAATTTTAAACAGTATAATAACGTGAAAACACATTATGATAATTGCATTCATTGGTTGAAGTATTCAAATATATAATATGTAAATATAATTTACTTAATATATAGCAGTTTGTGGCTTGGCGTGGTGCGTTGGCTGCTATCAGTCGCGGAATGCGACTGAGAGTAAGTAACGAACACAGCTACTAGCTCCCGGATGGGTGACCACTCGGGATCATAGTGGTTAAAAACCTTGCCACACATACACGTGTTTGTTATCAACCGTAACAATCGTAAAAATACAACCTACCGTACCAACCTTACCCCTTACCATAGTTCATAACCCTTACAAACAGCTAATGGCCCTAGTTGCCGGGCTTAAGTTCAATTAAAAAAAAAAAAAAAATATATATAGCAGTTTATACTATTTATAAAACAAAAAAACCAAACACCACAATCTCAGACATTAAATTATTTAGCAAAAATTGATTAAATTACCATTGAAACCATATAATATAATATTATAATACAGTAGAAGAAAACACTAAATTTGATGTTTATATAGTTATAAAATATAATAATACTACACCACACAATAGGAAAATATTCTAGCATAGAATAGAGCTGAAATTTATTAATTTTTTTTTTTTCAAAAACGCATTATACTTGGTAGATAGGTAATAACTAATAAAACATTTAATTAAATTGAATCACGAAAACGTAAACATCGCCGTTAAATCGATGAAACGCGCACAATGTACAATACATAGTACACAATACACACCGTATAGGTTATAAAAACAGCAAATTTTGAGTTAAAAAAAATATATAAAACACACCCGTCGTATGACAAAAAATCTGAACGGGAGATTTATTTCGTACACTGATAAAAAAGGCTAGTACTAAATCAACTACGGCCAGTACTATCACAATGGTCCAGTTTCCGAAAAATTTGGAGATGTATTTTTGAAACGAAATATGATTTGTCGACCGCAGTTTCACACGTATTTATTATCGCACGAATCACAACCACGACAATTAAAATAATACGTTTAATGTGGAGTATACCCCAATAAATAGGTTAAACCAAAACCCAACTTAACAGCGACTTTTATTATTCATCTCGCAAAGTTTTTATCGTTATTATTAGTAGAGCTAAAAACAGTGATGCGCAACACCTTATGCCAAACAAAATTATTCAATAATTATATTTATTTAATCTACAATATAATATTACTTATACATAAACGGTCAACTAATAACGGTAATTTGGTATTTATTATTATTATAACTTATAATTTATTTTATTTTGTTGATGAAACAACTATAAAAAAAACACTTAACAAATCAAGGACCTCTCCTTTAAAAATATTCTAAAACTGTTACTGATTTGAACTTTTGTAATATTGTTATATTTAAAGATTTTTTAAATTCATGGTACATATTTTATGATAATACCGTTTTCCTTATAGTTATAAAATTATAATTAAAAAAATCGAAGACATTGATTTTTTCATCATATGCCGTATTATGAATTAATTATAAGTTATAACTATCAGTATATTTTATAATACTACCACATCTATTATTAATTGGTTATATTTTAATATTTAATATAATAAAAACTAAAATAAACACTTTGGAGCTCTACATTTTTTTTTTCATTTTTTTCGTTTCTAAATTAACAACGATATTATGTATGTAAGTAATTGTGTAAGCATGCAAATCGCGATATGAACATTATGTAGTAATAGGTTATTATTATCTTTTCAAATATTTCACGAGGGATGACGAAAACATTACAAGTATACGACACAGTCATCTAAGATTCTCACACATAATGTATCATATTAATTACGAAATTAACAAACACTTTATAGCGCATAATAATACTAATATATAATGGTATAAGACCGTTTTTAATTCATAATTTAAGTAAACGGTAATCATTTACTTGAAAGTACAAAACGTTCGTAAACCCCATCGCCTTGTTAACAACGCACCCTTTCATGATAAAACCAAAAAGTCCCGAGAATAATACAGCCCTTAACATGATAGTATGATAAAGCGGCTTCAAAGATATAACGACATGGAAAAACCGTGAATTCTAGAGGATAATTTGTAATTACTTACTTCAATAATATCACATGATATCGATAATATTTTATAGGATTCATAATTAATTATCTATTATATTTGATTTAAAAAAATATATAAAGCAGTTGCAACACATATTATGATAATAAGTTAATGTTATCACTTATCATACAATATAAACACCACTCCGAATTTAACGCGAGCAAAATAATTTATAAATAGTGTTGTAAATTTGTAATACCGCATTACATAACTAAGCGTCATTGTTCTTTTCTTTAAGGTAACCCCAATTATTAAAAACATATTTTACAAAAGCATAAGTGTCCTGAACTCAAAAATAATCACCTTCCTACAGCCCTATCAAACCACTATATACAAGAAAATACATTATATAATATGTAATATTGCACTAGTAAGTAATTTATACTGCAGCTTTACTTTAAAATTTTAAAGAATTTCAACAAATGCAAACTACGATTTTTCATAGATATAATTTTAACAGCTGCAGTAAATCTACGTGCATCATTATATATAAGCTGTTATTAAAGTTAATAACAACTAGTATATTTAATGCAAGATAGCATATTTTGTGTCTTAAAATAATAAAACACACCTTTTAGATACATTTTTAAAATCAGCATCTTTATTTCAATATACAAATAATAACTTCCATTTTGTATGTAAAATAAAACCTAAATCTATAATCACGTAATTAATTACATACTGATACAGGTAAACACTTCCCATAAAATCAGAATAAAATTAGTTAGACCCTTCGTAGCATACTACTTTTAGGAATTATTAAGTTATGAAATTTGTCACAACCTAACCTAACCTATCTTGCATAGATCTATTTCTGTAACAATTAGTATACACAACTAGTCTAAAGCAGAATAGTTTAATTACTCCATCTTAAAATTTGTTATAAATTTTTATATTTATTAAAAATGTATTTAAAATAAATTTATTTAATTTAATTAAAAAATTGTGTCCATTCCATATTATCCATTATTGTCCTTTCGTCAAAGACAGACTAGGTCTTAAAATAACAGTACCTATATACCTTTAAATACGTTGTGTCCTGCAAACACAGTCACTACACTGCTTATACTTGGAACTAACATATAAGAATACTATATTATATTTACTTGAAACGTCAGATCTCCTAGGAACACATAGCAAGTATCAACATTATTTTTTATAAATAACATTATACACACAATATACATATAAATGCATGATCGCGTGTGTACAGCGTATCAATGTTTAAAAACTTAATGGATCGATTTTAAAAGAATAAAAAATTTCGTCAACTATAGTTCATTATTATGAATAATATGCCTTTGATTGTACACGTAAGTATACTATAAATAGTGATAATGATAATAATAATATATAAGCAACATTTAAGTCAGTTATAAACTTGGATCGAATTTTAAACATGTTTTTAGGTAAATTTTCGAGGTTGCGGGAGTATTATGCCACTGCACGGTTAAGTGCACGCTCTACGACTCTTAAAAAAAACGAATTTAAAAAAATTTTTAAATCTTCTTGAATAATTAATTACATATTCAAAATAACGTAATAAAAATAATAACAATCTTGGAAATAAATATTGAAGAATATCCAATAGAATTCAAGTTTAAAGGTAAAAAATTGAATCAAACATTAGATAATAATGACATTAGTTTTTTTTAAGCTACTAATAAATTTTATATGTTAATAATAATAAAATACAAAATAGTAATTAAACAACTGCAAGTTTTTTTAAAAGAAGAATCTATTTTTAATTTTTATTGTTGTTACATATTTGATTAATGGAGCCTATGAACGCCCATATTTTATATTATAATGCAATGCAGATGTTCTTGGTAAGAACCCCTACTGTTGGGATGATCACACCAACCTAACCTATAGATATACTGAATATTGAATTACTTACTAAGAACCGATTTTTGTAATAGTGTAATAAATTTAAGTCAATTTTAAATTAATAAGAATAAACAGCCAACATTAATAATAAAAAGTATCTATTTATAAACACACACATTATAATATATATGATAAAATCGTATAATATATTACATAAAAAGCATGATTCGTCAATTATGAGTTGAAAACTAATTTTAAATGACCCCTTTAACTCCAATATTTTGAAGAAATGGCCGCGTAACATGTATGTATTTAAAGTGTTTAAAGTGTTTAAACTATATTGGTTTGAGCGAAAATATTTTCAAAATAATAACTAACATATGCGGCATTCATTTACTTACCAGTGATTTTCCTTTGTATTTCGACGGCATGTGGAAAATTTCTTTGACGCTGCGAACCACACTGAAATTTCCAACGTCCACGAGACCAACTTTTGCTGTGGTTTTATCAATTACTTCTAGCACTTCTCCACGATACCTATGAATATGAATTTTTGTAGCACAAATGTTAAACAAGTCTCTCGATCTTATTTATTTTACCAACTAGGACTGAAATACACGATGCACGGCATATGAACACTGATGGATTTAACAGATTCGAATGATTTACTGTCTTCAAAGATTTGATTCTCTAATTGTATGAATTCAAGACGACTTTCATACGTGTGCACAGAATACCTCGAAGATGATATTTTTTCGGCGACCCAAACCTAGAAATTATTTATCAAAATAAATGAGTTTAATGATAGTAATAATTATAATGTATAAAATATGTGGAGATAGCAAACCTGAGTGGGAACATCCAAAGGCAGTTTGTGATACTTGATTACGCATTTTTCAGTATCTATATTAATATCTAAAAATAAAACACAGCATAAATTTATATCGATTATACTAAAATCTCAGAATAGCATACCAGATTTGGCATATACATCGTTTTGAATGTGTTGCTCAATATGTCTGTTGTCTAAAAGTTTCTTTACTTCTTTATTTATATTGCGTTGTGTGTTAACTGATATCAATACGACTTGGTTTTGTTCAGTGATAGAGTCCTAAAAAAAAATGTATAGTTAAAATTGTGTCTAAATTTTTACAATCAAATAAATAATGAGTAAAGCAAAACACCTACAATTATAAATGTATCTGTTTGACTGATATTTTTTAAATAGTGCAATATTGTGGTATTGGCATGTTCTGCGTCTAGTCCATGCAAACTGACCATAAACGTAGGCGGACAATTTTGAAGCTACGAAATTACAAGTTTAGATAAAACGACTCATACTTCCAACATTTTTATTCCTGTATGTATTTTACAAGAAAAAAAAATAGTATTGGTATTACCTGCGATTCGGATGGCTGTACTATATTACTCTTGTGTATAGTATCCCAGGATCCAAAATCAATAAAACAGACATAAAAATTGTTATTGTCTACTCTAGAAATAACTTCAGCCCTGTAAAATTTAGTTCCATTTTGTTCTCTTGCCGCAATTATTTCACCAACTTTAGGATCGTTTTCAATAGGATTTTCTATAAATGACAACGATTATGAATTACAGTAAATAAGTAAACGCAAATTTATGTAGAAACTACATATAAAAAGAAGATTTAATTTGGCGATAAATAAATGAGAAATATTTATTTTTATGATAACTGATAGGTACACTAAATGGACAGAGCATTTATACTTTTTGATTAAAAACGCAAAATAATATTATTAAGAATTATTAGTCCATATTTCTTTAATACGTTACTACTTATTATCTATTTTTCTTACATTTATTAGAATTAATAAAATTATAACTGATATATGGTCTCAGAATAAATACAGCACTAAATTGGATGTTATTAATTTTGTTACTAAGAAAATATAATATTTTTTTAAATACATTTTTAATTGCTTGAACTTTTTAAAGAGTAGTAAAAAGTTTAATATTTCAAAAAACTCTGTCAAAAACATTTTTATTCAATTCCACGGTGTTTTAGCTTCAGAATAATTTTTAACTTATTTGTACAGTTTCACACGAACAAATTTATTTGATTATTTAACATGTTAAAGCAGCAGTTATTATAGACAAAGATAATCAAATTATATTCCTAGAGTCCTCTTAAAGAATAAAATTTTATAAAAACTTGTTTAAAGGTAAGTACACTTTTTATTTACCTAACGCGCAGCTAGATGAAAAATTCTCCAAGAATGATTTAAATTTATCCGTGCCGTTATTAATACGTCTAACGTAAATAGCATGTAGATCCACAAACGTTGAAATATAGACTATATCTCCTTTACTTAACATCTGTACTGTTTCTGGCGAATCTAAATAACAAATGTTTTATTTTAAAAACTTAACAGCTATAATAGCAAATGTATAAGCATATAAACACAGAGGTCGCCTTATTTTACATGTTTCAACTGTTAAATGATATGTATTTATTATTTATATTTATTAGTTTTAATGATAATCTTTATGTGATTTAACCTCTTTCTTTTTGAGCCAAAAGCTTTATCAGATGATTGTTAACATTTTGTTGAGTTTTAATAGTAGTTAACGTCACAGCATTTAATCCATTTGGACTTTTCTCGTCAAATTCCTAAAATAATATATATAATATGAAACAATGTTCAATAAAAATAAACTACCGCATTCGTATAATAGAAGAACACATACAATAATTAAAGGCAGGTTTTCACAGAGCATATTCACATAAGACATTGCTTGAGCGTTGAGAATTCCAGAATCGATACCTTTGAGACGTATCGAATAAATAGTACGTGGAACCTAAAAGAAAACGACGTTTAATGATAATGATTACAACGAATTAGTAGGTATAAGGTAGGTAAGCAATAATATCATGATTATGACATTATTACATATTAATAGAGACAAGATTGAAACACAATAAGTAAATTTTCACACATACCTAACAAAGCGAAATAAACACCGTCAAATGTTATACATAGTTATTTCAAATTATAAAAATATTTTTATAGGCTTATATTCACACCTTAAACGCTCACGATAACAATAATTCTTATAAATATTCTATATTCGGATATTAAAAATTCAAAAAGTCAACATTACCACCATTATACCATGAATCATAATAATTTTTAATATTTTTTATAATGAATCGTATTTAATTTTACATAACAATACGAGATGTATAAAAATTAAATTAAATATTGCAGATCGTATTGAATTTGTAGTTATTTTTGGTATAACAGTGGGCAATGAGTTACATAAAAAATATAAAATTCATATACTATCACAACTCACGAGCATATAATATAATATACGCTAGAAGTACTTCTATTCAAAAAACGTTTAGGTTGTAGCAAAATTTTTACAGAAGAAAATAATCACTAAAATATATTATTTACAATCATTAAAACTATACACGCAAATTATTTCCTACGAAAGCAATTCACGGGCGGCTACCCTCCCCCTCACCATTCTAACAAAGCTGTAAAGTATTTTTTTTACTATTCAAAAACATAAAAAAAACCTACAGCAAATCCTGTATTTTTTTTTATATATATACGTTGTTAACGATTTAAAAAAAAAAACAGAGGTTCATTGTTTATATTTTCTTCGAATACACAAGGCGCCAACAAGAAGTTGTAGAAACTGCCGACGAATTTTCAATTTAAAACTAGCTATAGAATGAAAAAAAATTAAAGATTGTAATTAAAAATTAACAACAAAAAAAACTGTTAGATGATTTTATTTTAATCGTTCAAACCCTCAGCTTTTAGTACATTTTATTACTCGCGGTTATTTTAGTTTTTTTTAAACACAAATACATTTTCATAACGTTATACCTAAAATCTGAAGACTTCATAATCGAAATTAAATTTCTTTTTCGTTATATAAAACTAGATAACAGAACACCACACTACATATAAAACAAACGGTGCCTCAAGAAATATCATTATATTAAATATACAATCATTAACTGTGCCAACTATAAGCAAACATATATTTTAAAAATAAAAAAATTGTCTATTAACGAGAAAACTATTGTTGATGAAACCGGTGATAGATTTTGTTCCTCGTGTATAGATATTATAAGTAATGATATCAACAAAAAAAAAAAAAATTTAAGAAAAAAAAATAAAGAATAAAAAGTAGGCACCATTCTATACATTAGGTGTCAAGTTGGTCACTATTATAGATGTGTTGAATTTTATTTAATTCAGTGATAATTGCACAAAAAACGATTCTGAGCGGAGACGGTTTGTCAACATATTCGGCATTATCACTATAAGTGTATTTCATGATATGTTTTTTGATATAGTTATTTAATTTTACTAGTAGTATTTAATTATTATATAGGGTGTTTCTGAACTAAATATGGTCACTAATACTAGTTTACATGCGTATTCACTGTGATGGCCCGATAAAGATTTTTTTGAAATTTTTATTCTATTTTCAAAATCTGAGTTTTTTTATAATCATTTTAGAATATCACTTAAATGTAAAAATAAACACCCTAGCTATATTTCTTGCGAAATTCTCATACAAATCGAGACGTCACACTATTTTTAAACTTATCATACGTTTTCCGCATCGAATCGCCGACTAAAAAAAAGTGGAGTGATACATCAATTTGCATAAGAACACTACAAGATTAACACTGAAGATAGTTATTTGTTAACATTTGACATACTTAATTAATTAAACACATTAAATTACTTTATTTACAATTTTTATCTATGAAAGATGTTCAATGTGACCCCCATTAACTTCGATGCACTTTTGTATACAACGATGTAATTAATACCATGTTTTTTCCAACTAATTTGGTATTTGATAAATAATATCAGCTACATTATTAATTCTTATTAAAATTTCATCTCTAATTCACTTTTTTAGCATAAACTTGTTCTTTCATAAAATCCCTTTTTAAAAAGTCACATGGGTTAAAATCAGGGTTATGCTATGTCTGAGCAATATTATTGAGCATTGTTTCCAGCTTTTCTGCCAATCAGTTTGTTAGAGAAAAGATAATGCAATTATTTTTGGACTAAATTTGTATGATAAGCAAGTGCACCATCTAACATGAACCACATTATTTCTTTTACTTCCAATAGTACGTTCTCTAAAAGTACCAAAAGATTATACATAATAAAATGTAAAAATCCTTAACCATTTAATATAACCGATAATTCTTGTGGGCTTAATTAAGTATTTTCGACTAATTCACACAAAATATATATACCTACTAAACTTGTACCGGGAACCCCTTATACGAACAGCTTACGAATTTTCTTCAAACCACAAAATATGTGAGTAATGTTGGTTAAAAACCCCATCTTTTGTAAATACAGCCTCGTCAGTAAACGAAACATTTTTTAAAAATTTGGATTAATTGTAATTGTATCAAAAATTGTTTGTGAAAAAAATCAATGTTAAAGGTGTTAATTAATCATGTATGTTGAATGACAACAAATAATTATCACCAGTATAAATCTTGTAGTGTTCTCATACAAATCGATGTGTGACACCACTTTTTTTTAGTCGGTGATTTGAGCGTGAAAAACGCGCGACAAGCTCAAAAACAATGTGACGTTTAGATAAATATGAGAATTTTGCAAAAAATACAACTAGAATGTTTATTTTTACATTTCAAATAATATGAAAAAACCCAGATTTTGAAGATAGAAAAAAACTTCATCAGACCATTACAAGTGAGTACGAGTACACTAGTGACCTCATTTATTTCAGAAACACCTTGTATATTGATATAATGTAAAAATTAATATATATTTTTACATATTTAAAAACATATTACATATTATATAAATCTATACTATAGAACTTATTATTACGTTATGCGTTAAGACTTTAAGTGCATTGCACTTATACGTATAACGTGGAGTGTTGGCTAGTGAACAAGTAGCAATATAGTACTTAAAGTATAGTATATTGGTATAATTTACGTTTTCCAAGATTTTGAGACGGATACAATGCGTCCCAATTTATATCAAATAATACCATTTATAGACGTAAATGGAGCCAAATTAATATAGATTAGAGGAAAACAAGTTGTAGGCAGTGTTCAGGCACGTATACAGGGGGGGTCACCCCCCCCCAAATAATTTCTTTGAAAATTAAGTCAAATTATACACCTATTATTATAAAATATTTTTATTACTATCTATTGGTTAGTTTTTTTTTTGTTTATATTAGTCGGGTATGAAATACAAATTTATAATCTAATATTATAGTCCAAAGAAGTGATAACTGATTACTGAGAATTACGCATGTGTGAGAACTGAACATTGCGATATAAGTCACATACCTAGAAAACTCACATTTTGTCAATAATCTTATCTTATATCTCAATCATAAACAAAAATTCCTATTAAATTGCTAATTTATGTATTATTAAATCAATACTATAAGGTACATTTTGGCCACATTATCTGTTACAACTGTTACTGCGATCGCCATTCTCAACTCTACGAAGACTTAAAACGTACTTATGAAACAATATAAGAGAAATTAGACTTACTGGATTGGCACTACTAAACATATACCGAAATTTTAATTTTAATGTGGTAGAAATTATTGATAGATTTGCTAAGTTACCACGAAAATGAGATTTTATACTTTAATTTGTAATTTTTTAATGTATTATATATAAATTGTTTGATTTTTTTTCTTCTATCTAGGTAGTACTTAATAGTATAATATACTTAGGTAATTTTATATGCATAAGTACTAATAAAATAAACGTCTGTTCTGTTCATAATATTTAAAATTTTATTTATTATTATTATAATTGTTCTTATAAACTTACTTCTGAACAAATGACATACATAAAATTTAGATACTTAGCATAATAATTGTCATATTAAAAAATAATGAGTAACGAGGAAGAAATTGTTTTATTATGTTGTGGTACTATTTTTATAATAAATAATTTACCTGTTTTAAGTGTTCTGGAATTTCCACAAAACTATTTGCCGATACAATATCTTTAGTACCTAAATCAAAGAGGACCACTTTGTATTGATTTTCATTCAACTTTTCTTCAACAGCACCCCTGTTAAATGAATTATCAGTAGACGATCTAATTCCAAAAACTTCTCCTACAACTGGATTTTTGGTAATAGGTTGAGCTATAAAAAACAATAAATATTATTCATATATGCCACAGCAATTTATTTTATTTATTGATTTAAAATACATACAAGTCAAACAATAAACCGAAAAGTCTTTTAAAAATTTATCAACTTCAGTTTTATCAAAAGGCAAAGTGATATAAATATCCTTCAGACTAATAAATGCATGAATAGTAACTATGCTTTTATTAGTCAATGGTGGTATTAGCGGAACACTGATGTCATTAGATATATACTTCATACCTAAAGTCCAAATTATATAAACTATAAATATTTCAAAAAATATTTAATTTTTTTTAATTTTAACTAACCAGAATTGAGTTTCAAAGAATTATTAATAATAGTATTATCCATTGTGATGTAGTCTTCATCTTCATGTAATTGGTTTAAATGATCAATGACATTTAAGTTTTGGCTAATGACAGTTAACTCTACTTTACTTAAATCTTCAAACTCCTATATAAAACAATAATTCATAAAAAATTATATGACAAATAAATATATTAATCTAGACGGTAATTGTCTACAAAATAAAGCTGCAACTAGTGATTGTTAATAGACACAATATCAACAACAATTATTTAGATAGATGCAAAACTTTTAAATATCAAATTTTCTTTTTGTTAAAAATTTAATATCTCTTCAAATAGATAATAGAATAAATTATGTACCCGTAAATAAAATAGAGAAATCACAAGATTTGCTAAATCCTTTCTGAATCAATAAACAGTAAAAAATGAATAGCTTTTTACTTACAATTTTCATTAATTCACTCAGTAACATCAAACTTTCTAAATAATCATGACCTCTTGAATTAAGTTCTTCAAAACATGCACCTTTGAGCCCAACTTGAGTAAGAGTAGACGTTACCTTCAAAAATATAGTACAATAGCATTAATTATAATGAAACACAATGTATAATTAAATTCATAAGATGACTTAATTACTGAGCTTTCAATAAATAAAATACTTAAATACATCAAATAAGAGAGAAATTTCATAATTTGAACTAAAACAGGCTAATAATTTAAGTGTTTCTAACTACGCAATGATAACTCGATAAAAAAAAAAACATCAATTATTTCAAAAACTATTGTTATTAAAATTGTTTTTAATTTATTAATAGTGATAATGGACAACAATAAAATTTCAAACATTAATATAGTTCAAAATTTACCAATATAAAAATCTTTTTTTCATTTTCACTCAACCAAATTAATATCACATTAAAGAGTTTACCTCATTTACTTTATAAATGCTATATTTTAATACCTAAATATTATTGTAAACAACATCGTACATATTTGTATTACAACACAATTTAATTTATTATAGCTTAGATGCCTTAGAATCTGCAAATAAAATATGATTCCTAAAAAATAATATAATAATATAAATTTTCTATATCGTGATATATCAGGAAATTATTAATTGATATCGATATCGAATATTAGCCACAATATTGATATGGTATCATATTATTGATATTGTTGCCCATTACTATTTATTAATAAACAATATTTCTTAAGTATATGTTGTTGTGTAGAAAAACATATTTTTAATCTCATATTTTGAAGGTAAATATTACTAAGAATATCTTGATTTATAAAAGCATAGTTAAGTATTGAATCATGTAACTGTAATCCCTGTGCTACACCAACCAAACCATTGAATTAAAATTTAAAAATTTAAAATTCAATATTTATAAATTTTAAGTACAATAAAAAATATTATACTTTAAAATTTTGAAAGAAATATTTTTTTTTCAAAAATGTAGTTTTTTAACAACATAGATTTAATCTAAAAATTAATTATTTGAATACATCAATAATTTATAAAATAAACAACAATCTTTAACATAAAAAAATCACTCAGTTAAAAAAAATTGAATTTTAAAACCAAAACTGAATACCAAATTAATATTTCTAATCAGTAACAAGACAGTATGATTTTAACGATCAACATCACTTAACTTTTTTGAGATTAATATTAAATATTGTAAACAATACTATAAATTATATTTTTAGCTCAATTTAACCTGTTGTAGATGTATAGGTAGCGGAACAATATTAGCAACATTCACGCTTTCTTCAAAACCAAAATCAATAAAAATTACTCCATACATTTTTTCATTAATTGTATGAATAATCTTTGCACGATAAAAAGATCCATCGACTGAACTTTTTGCGCCTACAATTTCATTTAACTCTGGAGATTTATTTATGTAAGCCTTTCCTATAAACAAATTAGACATAAAATTATACAATTTACCAACAATTTTTTTCCTAGGATAAAAGTACTGACCTGAAGCACAACAAGTGTTGACGCTTTCAACAAGATTTTGCAATTCAGTATTATCCTCAAATTTACGCACATAAATGTTATGCACGTCTATATATGCCGTAATATAGACAATATCTTCATTTTTCAGAATATTAGTTACATCATTAAACTTAGAATCCTTAACAATAACATCAAATGCTGAAGGTAGATCTGGTAATTCTATTTCTTCTAATAAAAAATTATATTTTAATTTTTAAAAGTGATTAAATATAATTTATAAAGAAAGTATAGATATAAGAATTAAAACATTTGACAATACAAAACAATATGTTTAGTTAGAATATTTTTAACATTCATTCCATATATAACATACTAATTTATAAAATAAAAAGGTGAGGAAATTCTAATATTTCTAAATAGCCATAATGAAAACTTATATTATTAAAGATTCTAGTTAATTAAGTGCATTAGATTCAATGACACTAACAGGAAAACAATATACAGATTAAAAAAGAAAAATTGTAAGAGAAAATTCTACAATGAGAAAAAGGGACATCTTAGACCATATATTTCAAGAACCCTAAAAAAACTTTTTTTAAACTATCAATAATATAAATATTTAACCTGATCCTTAAATCTACTTGAAGTTATAATGGAAAAAATACTATGGAGCCAGAGCTAAAAGCCAGATTATGGAAAGAATTTACTTTAAAATATACTTAATTTTACTTATTAATTGGCCAAATAATAGAGAAAAAGTATGAATACAAACATATGACAGTTGTTTGTAGACTTCAATTAAGTTTATGACAATTATATTACACTAAAAAACCTCTATAATATCAAAGATGAATTTGAAATATGTTAATACTTAATATAATTTAATAGGGTTAACTAAAATGTACACAGAAAATAATACACAATATCAAACAAGAGTGGAGAACATGTCTGAAACTTTCAAAGATAAAACCTGTTTCAAACAAAAGGATACACTATATCCAATTCCATTTAACCCAATGAAAGAAAAATAAATTAAAGAAATGCAAAGGAAAATGAAAGAAACTTTATTAAATGCTATTAAAAGAAATCAGAGAACTATAATTTATTATGCAGCTTATTAATCAACACCAAAAGAGCAATACATGCCCAAAACCAAGTTACCGATAAAAAAATAAGACTAAAAATTCAGAGAAAAAACAAAGGTAATAGAACTGTGAACTGTGAAGAAAATAAAGATAGTATGGATAATGTGACAATAACGAAGATATAGGTTTAATAAAGTAAACAAGTTTCAGTACTTAGGAGTTATGTTGAATGTAAAGAATGATTGAAATAACAATAAAAAAGAATGTCAGTCACCTAAATAAATTTATTCACTGCAATGATAAGATCCACTCACATACCCAAGTCTGAAAAACTACTAGTAACATAGAAAGGAAGTTAAGATAATTTGAAAATAAAGTATAGTAAGCGACTTGTTAACAATAACAAAACGTAGATAGAGAAGAAAATATCAGGAATAACACAAAAAAATGGCGTTAGCATTAGTCACCAACAGATTAAAAAATTCAACGGTTTGATCATAACATACACAGAAATGAAAAGGAGACTCTAGAGCAATTCTGGAATGGAAACCTACAAAGAAAAATTGTGGGAAGCTTAAAAAAAAGATGGCTAGATAAAATAGAAGACAATCACAATAAATTAAAAATTTAATAATAGAAGATTGAGTTAAGCACGCACAAAGTAGAGGTTAATAGTGATGATTAAAATTTGAAATGTATAAGAGTTTAAAGAGATTGAAATCCATTCCTAATTTTGTTATAAATACTTTTTAGCCAAGTTTTAATCATATATAAATCTTAATATTTATTATGCTAAAAAGCAATAAAAAAAATGTATGATGTTTATACCTTTTATAAGTTCATCTTCAACAATACTAATAGGTTTAGCATTATCATCATCCTTGAGAAGTTTATTAAAGCTTTCAACAACATTTTCATTATTTTTAAGTATTACTAAAGTTACATCTTTAATAGGAATTGTATTGTCAAAATCCTAAAAATAAAATAAAATACTAAATAATATCTATAATAAAATTACCTATTTCTGTATTGCAGGATAAATTATTTCTATATTTATATTTGAAGTTACAAAATATTCATGTAAAACTTACTATTAACAATGGCTCATATGTTGATAATAAATTAGTAATATAGTTTGATGCTTCAATGCTTAATGAATGAGACTTAATACCTTTAAGATTAATTCTAACAATAGTTGAAGAAACCTAAAAAACAATAAATTGAGTAATATTATTAATATTAGCATTTAATTAACTTTAATAGTTAAAGTATTATTACCATAAAATCTGTAGGGATTTCAAATATTTTTGACATAGGTACATTATCCTTATCACCAAAGTCAATAAATTGTATTGAATAAGTGACATCATCCATTTTTTTTAGAACTTTACCTCTATAAAAACTATCATCTAAGGTTGACTGAGCTCCAACAATTTGACCAATTACTAGAGGCCTATCAATGGGTTTAGCTAGAACAAAAATTTTAAATCAAGTAAATTTTTGTTGTTAAAAAATTCTAATTTATTATTTAATATTTGTTATTTACCAGATAAACAGAATTCATTAACTTTTTCTAATAAATTATGAAATTCATCATCATAATCATCTAACTTTCTAATATACATTTCATCCATACTAATAAAAGCTGTCAAATAAACTATACTACCCGGTTGCAAAACAGGAACAACACGTTCTAATAAAGATTTATCTAAAATGTAAGCAATATAATAATAGCTAAAACAATAATTTATTTAATTTAAACCTGATTTGAACTCTTCTTCATTTTCAATCAAATCATTTATGTTTATTTCCTTATTATCTTCAAACATTAATTCCTTTAAACGACTATTGACATTTTCATTATTTTCAGTCTTTAGTATTACTTCATTTGTGTTGTTGTCTATCATGTCCTATTTTTAACTAACTTGTTGAAAAATTATGATACAATAATTATTAATTAAAATCAACTTACTATTATCAAAGCATCATTTTCAGAAATAAAAGATATATATTTATGAGCTGCTTCATTTAATTTAATGAATGGAACATCTTTTAGTTTAACCAAAATAGTGGTAGGAATTAACTAAAAACAATGAGACAACACAGACATAATATTACTTTATCAATGTAATCATTTTCTATATAAAATACATTAATAAAAAAAAACTTATGAAATATTCATATTTAAAGCAAATTTATAATAAGAAAAATTATAAAATAATGATTTCTTGATTTTAAAATTCTAACAAATAATTTAATTATTTTTATAACATATTTGTTTCATTTCACCCAATATGAACAAATCTAATAAAAATTTTAAAACTACAAAAAAATTAATTTCAATTTATTTTTTCTTTTAATAACAATCTCAAAGAAATTCAGAAAACAAATGAAACAGCCAAAAATTGTGGATTTCCTGGATTAAAAAGTTTAATAAATAAAATAGCCAATACGGCACCAGATTGATAAGTTATTAGTGTTATTACCCAAGTATAAAGGTTCCCAAACTTTATGGCACGACCCATTATAGATAATGATTTAAATTTTGGCAACCCACAATAACATGATGGGTGTAGCTAGTTTTTTTACCTAATGACTTTTATTTATTATTGCTTTTTTGATTTCAATAACAATATCACAATATTTACATCTAAAAAAAATGTATTATATAAAAATATGACGTGACCAACTAAAAATATGATTGCGATCTATAGTTTGGGAATCTCTACCCTAGAGTTTTAAGATTTCTAATGTTTGATTACACTTGCTACTTTACGATTTAATTAAATTATATTATATTTTCTACTAACATTTGTGCTAATTTATCATTATAAAAAAAAATGTATGACCATACATTCATTATCAACCCATATTTTGAGACTCACAGAGTTATACTTGATAACTCGCTAGGCCACCAATCCAGCATTGGTCATCTTTAAAAAATTTTTATATAGAGCTATAAACTAAAAATTATTAAGTTTAAAATTGCAATATTGTATAAATGTACACCAATTCAAAAACTAGGGATAGGATTTATAACAGTGTTCATTTTAGGGTTGGCCGGGGGGAAGTAACCCCCCCCCCCACCAACAGAAAAAATAAGACAAACTATGTCAACCAACAACAAAATAAAATAAATATTATAATAGAGGTTATAGGTTGTATTCACCACTCCATAAGGCTATTTCTTATACGAACAAAAACTACAAAAATAATTATGCCCTTATGCAATTCTGATTTATTTTTATTTCTCTCCATTATTTTCTATGATCTTATTGTAGCCTTTTAACGATACCCCCTCGGGATAGGTCTGAAGTAAACACTGATAAAACTATAACTATAACTATAACTGATACACTATAAAAAAGGCTAAGTATACATTTTATTAATAAAAACATTCAAAATATGTAATTTTTTTTTTATGATTAAATTATTAACTAATTTTTACAGAAACTCAAAAATTAATCATACGATACAAAATGGATAAACCTTAGTAGTTTATAAAAAACATATAATTTATAACAAATTGTCATATAAAACAAATATAGACATCCCTTAAATAAATACAAGTTTTCTCTATTAAGTTATTAAAAAAGCATCATCAAAAAATAAGAATTATTCAATTAAATTGAAAATGGACCAAACCGTGGGCATAAGATAACAATCAATTCGGACTAAGGAAAAAATATACAAATGCAGTTTTTTTTTTAGTTAAAAGGTTTAATTTCAAAAATTTATGTAATAAACATTTAAATTTATCATGTTACATATTTAGAAATAAAACGCAAAATAAAATAAAATTTATCTATATACATTAAATACATAATTTAATGTATGTTTGGAATGGGCTTATAAACTTGAAACTACTAAATCCACAAATCAATTTAGTTCATCAATTTTTATAAAGATAAAGACCATAATATGGGCTCAAATACAGCATGTATGAAAATTAAGATATGACATGATTAAATTTATAACATTTCTTTAGCTATAATTATGTATGAATACTAAACATAAATAAAATTTTTATATTTTAAAAAACTATACTTTGGTTCAAAAAAAAAAGAGCCTAACCAACCAATTTTCATTTGGTAGTGCACATTTCCAAAATACAACTTAGGTAAAGAGTTTAAGTGTGCAGAACTGATAAATTATCTTTTAAAAAAGAGTAAATTCAACAAAATTTCTGAATGCTAACTAATAATAGAATAAGTCCAATCTGAACTCATTTCACAGATTCACTAATTCTCTCAAAAAAAATAATTTTTATATGAAAAGAGAAATTTTCTGGAATTATACTCAGGCTTAAGTGTAAAGGAATATATTCTAAAAGTGGAAAATAAATTATTAAACCATTAAAGTAAGTAAAAAAGGAAATATCCACATTTTTTCTACAGGTTTATAAAAGAATTAAGATAGATACTGTTTTAAATATCGCTTAAATCAAGGGTTTTCATCCTACAGTCCCCCTAATGTCCGCCAAGCTAATTATTGTTTTTTATATAAAATATTAGATTTCAATGTTTTAATTTTTTTTTTTCAACAATTAGTTTACAAAACACCAATTTGCTTATAAACTAATGTATACTATAACTAAAATACATCAATAAAGCGCAATATTTATTTTATTGATTTTTTCATGAACAAAGTTGAGTTTAAGAGTAACTAATAATTAATAAAAATTAGATATAGTCCATAAAAATTTTCTAATATCACAAATCTTAGCACTTAAAAAGTGAATCTTGAGCACCTCTTTTTAATACATATTATTATTCTAATTTTAGATTGAAATGAATTATATACCTGTTTTAATTCAGTGGAAAGATTAACAATATCAGATAAACTAACATTCTCCTCAATTCCATAATCAATAAATTTTACATCATAACTATTATCATTAATTTTTTTGATAACTTTTGCTCGATAGAAAGATCCATCTATTGATTTTGCTCCAATTAAATCATTTAATTTTGGTAATTTTCCAATAGGGGTTTCTTTAAAATATAAAAAAAAAAAAAAACCATTATATTTTGAACATATATAATCATATTTTATGAATGATAAATTAAAGATAATAATAATTACCAGCTGAACAGTACAAATTTACAGTTTCTATAAAATTAGTAAATTCATCAGTATCGTCTTCAACTTTACGAACATAACAATTATATACATTAATGAACGTTGTAATGTATACTGAATCTCCTTTTTTTAATACAGGTACATTTATATTACTACTTGTATTTTCGTCTATGTGAACATTATCTAAAACATTAAACATTAAATAAATAATTTTATAATATACAAGTTCAATTAATCAGTTACTGCCAACCATGAAACATTGCATGCTACTATTAAACTTCATCTTTTTAGTTTAACAGCAAGAATAAATTTTACCATACTTTTTCAATAATTAAAAAACAGTTGGATCAAAAAGTATTTACTCTCAGTGAATCTAAACAACTTAAAATTCCATTTTCATCACCATCATTGCCATCATAAAAGTATTCAACCAATGTTTAGCATAATTATTATTTACCATTTCCTATATATAACAGACAACCTGAAAATTTGGTTAACGATATGGACACAAAGCATATCAAGTCTACTATCAATAAAAACAAAATCTACACCTCTAAAATTTTTAAAGATGTTGTTACTAATTGCGATTGTTCCACAATTCATATGCAAAAATTAAATAAATAATATGAAATCTGCATAAATACTTCAAATGCAAATTACTATCACTCAATTATTAAAATTTTTTAACATTAAACTTATGTTTAACCATCAAGTTACCCATTGCAGCTTTGCCCGCAAAATTTTAATAGGTATATAATAAAAAATAGTAATTTATGACCATTTTATTCAATTTTTTCTATAAACCACAAATTGATGTATTTCCATTTGATACCAAAATTGTGGAATTACTAAATCTGAAGTATACCACATAAAATTTTCCATGTGAAAGATAGCTTAAAAATATGATTTAAAGCAATGGTTCCCAACTAAGAATTAACTTAAAGGTGGCTCAGGGAGAGGGGAATATAATAATACAATAATTACAAAAATAATTGTTATTTTAAATTTACAATGTGTAAAATTGAAATCACTATATACATTTTCAGATTATCACGCATCGAAAACAATTATATTTTATAATGATAGTGGATAAACCTTTCACACTTAATCTAATATTAATAGGTACAAAGTTTACAAAATAAAAAATGTAATTTAACAACTTTGCAATGTTTGAAGAACTTTCTCATTATATCAACTTAAATATAAATAAATATATATTTTTATATTCTATAATTTTTTCAATAAATATACTTAATATTATTACTTCCCAAGTTGATTTATAATATATTTTTAAAATGATGAAAATAATAAAAATAATAACAAAAGCAAATAGTTGTATAATACAGTTTTTTTGTATAATTTACTTTTACAGCTCATAAAAAAAAAAAAAAAAACATAACCTTAACTCTAATTTAAAAGGAAATGAAATTTTAGAAAATTTTTAAGAGGGGGCAAGAATAAAAAAGGTAGGAAACCACTGAGCTAGAGGCTCATGGTTTAGAAGAACTTTCACATCAATTGATAGGTATACAATTTACAAGTAATATTTAATTTTTGCTGATTTCAACCCCTTAAAATTAATATTTTGAAAAATCTTTTCTTAGTGCATGGTGAACTTATATTAATATATCCTCAAAATTTCAAATTGATAATTCAAATAGATTCAGCTTTTCAGCTCTTCATTAACTATCAATCAATCATTCAAGAGTCTGATATACAAATTGTACTGAAATCTCTAATAAGTAGATTAATTTTTACAAGTTATTATATGAGAAAAAAATCAGAAATGGATTAAGATTTAAACAAGATATATTTTAGAGTTTTTGCTAACATTATTTTCTGTAAAAATATCAAACTTCTTTAACACAACAAATTCCAAATGTATTTTTAAATTGTCTAAGAAATAAGATGAAAAAATGGCTACTTTAAAAAAAGTATTTATATTTGTATATTTTTTTTTTTTTATTCATGCTAATAAATTAGTGTTTTCTTATCTATACCAAGAACTTAAGTGTTAAATAATATTAAATACATTTATTTTATATGATACTTTAGATAATATAAACATTTTAAATATAAGTTGTATTTATAACTTACAACTTTGAATAGCTTACCTAACTTAAGTTGATTTGTTACATCTGCCATTGATGTTCTGTCATTTTTACCCAGTAATTCATTTAATCTTTCATTCACATTCTCATTGCCATTCACTAATCTTAAAGAAACATCAGTAAGGGGTTGTGCTGAAGAAAATTCCTGAATGTAAACAATACAAAATAAATACTAAAGAAGGATAAAATAAATACTAAAGAAGGATAAAATAATTTTTAAATAACTTATTGTCTATGGATATAAAAAAATGTTTTAACATGAATTATGATAAGTAACAATACTAATGAGTAAATTTAAATAATGGTTAGAACTAAAATTATTAACATTTATTGTTTCTACCCGTCTCAGACGTCATATAGCAACTAAGGTATTGTATACTCCCACTTCCAAGCAGAGGCACCAATAAAAGGAAAGCGTAGGCACCCATAAAAATAATATAATATAATACATGTGTACTATTTAAAAAAAGTTAAATTCACTAATATATTTTAGAAAAAAACAGATATATATGATTACTTTGAAATATATCTGTTTATTTAAATAAATGGATAATGTTAAATTATGTTGCTACTTTGAGAACAAATTATTATAAGTTTTTTTTTTTTTTTAATGGAATGAATCTATTAATGTATTAAGAAAATATTTGGAAATTTATAATATTTATACTTATGTTAAAAATGTTTACTATATACAATAGGTATTTAGAAGTCCAGAATTGAAGGAATATAGATATCCTTAAAACTGTGTACCTACCATATGTATAGTTAGGATTTGAAAAATAGCCCTCCTTCCACAAATACAGATGAAGCCCTCCACGAATCTTTACTCGTCAACCCCTAAAAAACCTACAGCCCCAAAAAATTTTTATCATACCACGCCTATGATACTTACATATTATATTGAAAGTCTTGGGGCTTGAATCCCCCTAAACATTTTTCCTATTTGCGCTATATGCTTTCAGGAATAGATTGTTTTTTAATATTTTCATTTTTATCAAAATAAACATATTTTAATTAAACTTAATTATTCTGAATCAATAAAATGAATGCTTTTTTTCTTATAAAACCGAATTCATAATCATGAAAGCACAGAATACTTTGCTATATTATACTGACAAAAAAAAAAAAAAAATACAAGTATTGTAACTTAATACGAACTCCCAAGATTAATATCTATTTAAACTATTTAAAATAAAACCTCAACATAACATTTCTACTAAAAATAAGCAGGTAATTTATAATTAATTATAAATAATGATAAAAATTAAACATAAATAAAAACAATAAATTAATTTTAAATTCTAGTTCCTAATACAAATAATACAATGTATGAAGAGATTTTAATTAAACCACTTACGATTATCATTGGTTCATAAGTTGACAATAAATTGGAAATATAGTTTAAGGCATCTACATTCAATGGAACATCATTTACTCCTTTTAAAGTAATTTTAAACACATTTGAAGGAGTCTATAAATAGAAAAACATATGAGAAAAAATATTTAAGTTAGACTATCAATAGATTACCATAAAATGTTTGGGAATTTCAAATATTTTTGACAAAGGCACACTATCCTTATCACCAAAATCAATAAACTGCAATGAATAAGTAACATCGTCGATTTTTTTTAAAACTTTACCTCTATAAAAATTATCATCAATAATTGACTGAGCTCCAACAATTTCCCCAATTATCAAAGGCCTATTAATTGGTAGCGCTAAAACAAATAATTAACAATTAATTGAATTTATTTTAAGATCAATAAATTTTGTTTATATATAAATTATAAAACTTTAGCTTATATTTACCTGATGAACAAAATTCATTAACCATATCCAAGAATTTTTCATGATCGTCATCGTGATCTTCTAATTTCCTAACATATATTTCTTTAAGATCTACAACACCAGTCATGTAAACTGTACTGCCAGACGGCAAAAAATATTCCAATTGTTCTGGCATAGCTAGAGAATATAAATTTCAATTTATATTAACTTTACTTCAATTAAAAATTAATATACATAAAAAAACAAAATAAACCTGAATTCACCCTAGAGTTTACTTTCACAGGAATAACTTGATTGGATTTTAAATTTATAAAATTATTGGAATCATGTACACAGTTTAAACTGGCATGATCATTGTCACTTGATGGATTTTCCACAAATTTCTAATTAACAAACAAATAATATTTATTTACTAGACATAAGCTACAATTTCTTTAATATATTAAAGCTGCAATAACTAAGAACATTAATTTTCATGAATTTAAAATTATAAATTAATGGTAATATATACTTATGATAAATGTTAGTTAATAATCATTTACATTTACAAATAATTTAACTGAAACGACACCTTAGTGTTCAGTAATTTACTAATACTAATTCAAGCAATAAAATCAAAATGACTTTGAATAAAAACAAGTATGTGAAAGGTATACATCTCTATACAAACTAAAATATAATAATAAATTAACCATAGTAAAACAATAAAGTTTTAACCTTTTTCTAAAATATTATGTATTTTTGAAAAACAATTGTGCACCTTACTAGGACTTACAAATATAATAAAAAAAAATTCATATTTTATCAATTTGAATCTAATCAAATTAATCGTACTAATCAAAAGAACTTAATTAAAAAAAAAACCACATATCAATAACAAATTTAAAATTTTATAATTGATATTAAAGTATGTACACACATGTACCATACAGAAATTTCAAAACCATTTTGTTATTAACTAATAATGTTCACCAACTACATAAGAATAAAAGCTCAACATTTAAATTAATTTAAATATAGCTGGCATGATTACATAATGTAATCTTGATATTTAAATAAATTAGATACATAGTTTCAATATTAATGTACAAGGAATACAATACTTTGAATTTATCTTACTAGAAGTTCTTTAATATGTTCATTAACATCTTCATTATTATTAATAATAGTTAGGGTTACATAATCCAAACCAAAAGGATCATAGTCAGTGTATTCCTAAAATACCATAAGAAAAATAATGAATAAATAAAATTAAAAAAAAAAAAAGAAAAAGAAAAATGGTAATACAATTATATACTAATTCCTTACGAATTAATAATAATCTGATATAACTGACATGCAAGGATGCTACCCAAACAAGTAATGAGTAAATTACAAAAAAAATATTTAGTACAATATGAAAATTCTATTTAACTTAATTTATTTTAATTAAATTGACATGATTCCCTTACCAATACCATAACTGTAGAATTTTCAAATAACTGTTTAATATACAAAAATACTTCAGGTGTCCAAGGCTTTAAAGTTATATCTTTTAATCCAACTAAACATACAGTCGGTGGAATCTAAAATAGACAAAGAGCCATGTACTATACATATTTCAACAAGTATCAATAACATATAATTAATTCTACCTATTAAAATTATATATTAAATCAAAATTAGTCCATACCTTTTTTAAAGTGTCGGGTAAATCAACTATGCAATCAATAGAAGCAGATATCACATAACCACTATCAATTAAATATAAAGAAAAACAGGAATTTTCTAATATGTCGATGACTTTGCCTCTGTAAAATTTATCTGTGCATTTAACAGCAACAATATCTCCTGCTATGGGGTTTCTTAAAATATTTGAGGCTGAAAAATAAAAAGAACTTAAAATAATATCAATACTATGCACTACAATTACTAATTATTTAATTCGAACTAAAATTACCATTTTCACAATGTATTTGTAATTCTTTACAGACATTAACAAAATGATCAACACTCCTAACAAATATATGCCTCCAATCAAAAATTTCTACTTTAGCTACAACAACAGAACTACCATTTTTAAACATAAGTGAATTATAATTTGATTCTTCAGCATGTATATATTTCTCTAGATCCCAGTTTTTTATAATAAAATCAATAGATGTATTCTTAAAAAAAAGTTTCATGGTTTTATACATTTCTTTATTTAGTTTCATTATAAATGATTCAAATGTTGCACTATAATCTTTGAAATTCTGAAAATTAAATTACAATTAAATTAAAATATAATAGTAGTTTTGAGATTGGAATATTGTGTTTGAAATCAATTAAATTCAAAATTTAAAGAATTGATATCATGTATAATTTTATTAGGGTAATACATATTAGATACATCTCTATATTTAGAAAACACAAAATTATTAGATATTATCTTATTAATATTAATTATTTATATTTTAAAATTTACTTAAATGTATCTAATTAAAACATTTTTGTAAATAATTTTTGAATTAGTAAGAAAATACCCATGATGTTTGTTAATAAACTTGATCCATTTATTTGTAAATGTGTATTTACTTGAATGTTATTAAATTGGTATTGCCTACACATTTACATCATCTTTATCAATACAACTATTTGGATATTAGAATTTTTAATAGAAAAAATTGATTTATTTTACTAAAATATATTTAGCTCATTTAGTTAATTGAAAATTCTTAAAACAATTCAACATGTAATTAAATCTAGAAACAGAAACAAAATTATTCAATATTTAATTTACCTCCATTAAATGTTGTAACTTTCCATAAGGACAAATACATTTGACCTCAGCTTCAAATGTAATAACAGGTATATATTTATACTTTTCTGGAATATCTTTAAGTTTTTTTGTTTTTGTTATTTCACCAGTTTCACAAAATGCAACATTAGCCTGATTATGCAAAATAGATATAACATAACACCGCATCCAAATTTTATTTTGTGGATGAAGACAAGCCAGTAATGAGCCAGGTTGTACATTAGACCTAAATTTAAATTTAAAAATGAATACAAATATCTAAATATATGTACAAAATGTGAAAAATAATAAAAAAAAAAGTAAAAAATTAATTTAATTTATAAAATAAAAAGATAGATTTAAGTGTATAACTTGTTTCTAAAATTTTCTTTGATAGTAATTTAAGTCATATAATAGACAAAACACTGGTTTAAAAAATAAACAAATAAAATAATAATCAAATACAGTATAGAACTTACAAAGGTACAATTGGTTCATTTAATAAGGCTAAATTAATATCCTCATCATTAATATGTTCACATTCTTGCAACAACAAGTGAAAAATAAACAAATTGTATTTTTTTCTTACAATATGTTTAATTTTTCCAGTTATTCCAACATTCAAGTAGTTTAAAGTATCATTAAGTAATGGAAATTGTAATCTAAAAATAATCAAGTGATCATCTAGTGTTATTATTATTTAAAGTGTATATAGTGCCATTTGAAATTGTATAATATATAAATAAAAATAAAAATTACTAAGTACATATTTATAAGTAATTAATATTATTAATTTTAAATAAATAAATCATAATAATTTTAACAGTAATTTATATCTACCTTTCCAATTCCATGTTAACTTTTGAAATCAAACACTTAATTATTACTTAAATTAAATGTGCTGAAAACAAAAAAAAAAAATTACTTAATTATCACATTTTTTTTAACTACTTAATTACTATAAAATAGTAAATACAAAAACAGAAAAATACTAAATAAAATATTAAAATATAAACAAAATATTGTAACATAAATTAAATATTCATCACGAAATGTATAGATTATCAATAATATAACTTTGTAAACTCACCTTAAAATAATTTTAATTACCATTATTTTTGGGATATAATCCTTTCCAGTAAGGCACTCAGTATGATTATCTAATTTATATTTAGTTAAATGAAATGACAGGGGTGTGGAATTATGAAGAACGCCCCCAATCAATTCTTATTACTTATCTATTTTGTGATGAATGATGATATTAAGACCTTCAAAACTGTTCAATTCAACAACACATAAAAATAATTATTCTTAACTGAAAACTCCAACAAAAAAATGTATTATAATTTAAAAAATTTACCTACATACAAAATTAATCATTTTTAAGGGCATATTACAATAAACTAAAAAAAATAAAAAATTTTTGAAGTTGTTAAAGCTTTATATCAGTGGTTTTCAATCTTTTAACAACAAAGCGGCATACTTCACCTCCTGTGTGTCGTAACACACCAGTTAAAAATCACTGCTCTGACTAAAGAACATGCCGGTTTTACACATGTAGACTAATAGCAGAGCGCTTATTAAAGCCTCATTTTCCCCTTCAAACAACATAGTCACTGCAGCAGCTGATTCAGATTCAAATAAGGCATTAATCAAGGCAGTATTGGTGAAAACACCATGGCTAGGTGATATCTGGGAATTTGCTGAACAAACTAAATTTTGTTAAGCAGTGATATATTCTCTCACTAGATAGAGTATAGGTATATATTACAAATATCTTTGTAAATAATCTTCCTAAAAATGAATAAATATCCTAACATAGAAATACCAAGATTACATAAAAACCATAAATACCTAATAAATTATTTCTATTCAAAGTCATTTTAATTTATATCAATGGCTAACAATATAACCAAAAATCAATTGCTATGGATATACAAACTTAATTATTCAAAAACTATATTATAATTAGTAAAAAGCTGTATCTAAATTAATTATCATTATTTTAAATTACAAATTGATATAGTTAATAAAATGAACATACACACATAACACACATTTTATTACATAGCATTAAATTGTAATTTAAATAATGAAAAAGATGGGCGACTTCTAATAAAAAATTGATACTTACAACTTATGACAATAATTATTAATTTTACATTTTTACACTATACATTAATAGTAATCAAAATAGAATAAAATCAAAATTAAGTAAAAATTAAGTTGTAAAAACATTTATAAAACAATAATACAGTAGATATATGTAGGTAACTATTAACAATTGAATACTGATGTCGGCACATACACTAACGTTTTGTAAATACTATTTTATAGTACCTAGATATAAAAATTTTCTTAATTGTTGGACATCCCGATGCTATACACTGAACAGATATAGCAAACACTAACTAGTTTTGCTAGTAAAATATTAATATAAACACGCTATTAAATGAAAAAACTACAAGAAATCTTGTAATTAAACACAGAGTTGAGTAATAAACAAATACTTACTTGAAAGCAATAGCCAACAGGATCTATTCGAAATTCGAATAAACAAACATACAAGTAATACTTGATATTTATTCAAACATTAACGTACTTTTTATTAATCAAGTACCTGAGAAAATTTTTTTGATTTGTGAATTATGTTAGGCTATTAAGCTAGATAAATTTATAATTTTATTAGTAAATTAACAACACACGTCACACACAACACATTAGGATCTTCAACAAAGTTCTAAAATAGAAATGAACGAAATGATTTTGGGTTATGGTCGAATGGCGAATATTAATTTCAAGAAAAAAACTAACCTATAATTTATAAATTGTGAGAACAGATAAACGTCTATATTTATGCTATAATTAAATTTATGTAATTTTAAAAATATTTTATTTTTGACCATAGAAATAGAATTAAACAAAAATTTAAAACAATCACATCGTTGATTTTAAATTTACGGTTGGTAAAATCGTTGGTCAAAATTTGAAATAAAATTCATAATTATATAAATTTAAAAAAATGAATTTTTTATTGTTTTGGATACACTGTAATTTATTTTGTCAATTGTCATTTAGTAATACAAGTCAAGTATTGAGTTAAAATTCTATTTTTACCATTAAATAGAAGTATAGTACACAGTCCTTAAATGTGATACAATCGATACTCCATAGTCCATAATCGATAATTGATTAAGAACAATAACAAACATTTTCTATTAAATCTACATCTATTTTTACTTATTAAAGTACAAAATTCAAATAATAAAAACGAAATACGCATTTCCCCAAAACCTAATTTTATTATAATTACTAATTATTATTTAATGTATATTGTATTTTGTATTACTTATCATAACTAATGTTATTAAAATAAAAATAATAAAATTTGCATTTTATCATAGGCTTTGATCACATCGCAATTTAAGATATTAGTATATTACATAATATATTTCAAATCGTATTTAGATTTTAAAATGTTTGATTAATAGATTGCGAGACTGGTCCTTTAAAACAATCTTTAAGTCCCCTGTACAAAAAAAATAAATTATTCTGAAGTAATAAATTTAATATAACAATAACGAACAAATTTAGCAAATGGTTAACCATTCTGCTGTACAAAAAGTAATGAGTGTACTTCAACATCAAGTCATTAAATGGATGTGTTAAAATTTAAATCAATAATGAATCTTTGTAAGTTCACGATAAAAAATGATTCTAAAATGAAGACATTTTACTCGGATCACCAAGGAAATAAATAATAATATTAAAATTTTAATAAATTCTTAAAGTATTTTTTCCCAATTATTTTGAAAAGTATTGATCATTTTTAAACTACTAACTGGATCCAATTTGCTAGCGAAGTAAAAAAACTTCCCTATAATTTGAATTTGATGATAAAAACATCTTTTATGTAAGAAAAAGTGTCTTCATGCACAAAAAAAAAAAACGTTAGTATAAAACTATTAACCAATATATTAAATAACATTCGGAGTAGGTAGCTCAGAATCCATTTCCTATTTGTACCATATCAGAGCTAATAGATACCATGACGTATCTTTCCTACTATATAAACCAATTTCAATAAACAATATGGTACCTATCACTGGCGTAAATTCAAAATTTGGGCCTGGAAGTGAAATTTTCAACGCCCTCCCTTTATCTAAGCTTTATACAGAGATCTAAAAGACATTTATCTTACTAAAATTATTGAATGTTTTATTAGGTAACTCAAAATTGTATGATAATTTTGAATTATTAAAAAAAAATTAATAGTTTATTAAAAATTATTGTTACTTTAGACAAATGGGCCCCGATGCGTATGCACCCTCTGAATCCTTACTCCTTAGTTATACCACTGGTACCTATCAATCCTAGTTCTCATAATAATCAATCATTTCCTCAAATTATAAATAAATTCAGTATTATATTATTATGTATTTGTATCCTAAAACAATGATTTTATTTGCTATTTATATTACATTAATGATGTATATAAAAAAAAAAGTGTACATGATTAATCCATCCATAAATTTACTTTTTTTTCTTCTTCCAAATTACACTTACTCATGAATCAACCGCATTATACTACTTTTTCGTGACTGAATTAGTGTCTTTTTTTTTTTTTTTTATTCAAATTTAAGTCAATATTATTTAATTATCCTGTTGATTATTGATTAGATACTAACATAGTGGCGTCTTAAGTTTATTCATCAGCATGAAGATTAGACAATTCTAGAGAATGACTTCATATTATCAACTGATCAAACATCAAACAAATATATTGTAGGAATAAAATATAGACTATCAGGAGATAAACAGTACCATAATAAAGGTCTCTTTATTTGATATAAAATGAATGAATATTGTTTTCATATGTTTAACTTTAAAAGTACATTCTTTTTTTAAAAATCAATGATACAAAAATAAAAAAATATTTATGAAATTGTTAATAAATTTAGCAGTTTATTTTATTTCATATTTAATCATTTTAAAAACAACTATTTATCAATCCAACTGGTTAATACAATTTTTATTCCATCTTCAAAATTAGTATGTGTTCCAATTCCTAATTTATTTATACGTGAAACATCTAATAGAGTATTAAATGGGCGTTTCACTCCACCTTGTCCATTTACTGGAACCACTTGTTCCATACTCATGTTAAAAATTTTAGCCATTTTAGCCACCATATCATACTTTGTAAACATTTCTTTTCCACACCACTGATAAATTCCACTGATGTCATTACTCTGTAAAAATCATAATTTCACAATATGTTAGCAACTTTTGATTAAGAGACATTAACTTACAGATACAATTTTTTTTTCTACTAAATTAAACACAATCTGTGCTATATCATCAACACTTGATGGATTACGAAGTTCATAATTAGAGACTTTAAATAATTCATTATTATGTTGACACTTTTTTAATCCAGTGAACAAATATGTAACTGCACTTTCTTCTAAACTTTCGACAGGTCCATAAAGTACTGGAATGCGAAGAATGATATTATCTGTAAATTAGTTTTTTTAAATTACTAATTTAATTTACAACATAGGATTTATAAAAAAAAATATTACCACATATCATTGATTATAAATACTATAACATAATATTTATAGTATACTATATAAACAGTTCCAGCATTATTTAGATACCATATTTAATCTTTTCTAGATAATGCTTTATTGTAATGTCTATATTATATATCGAACCCATATTCCAAATGGGATAATGCATATTTAAATCACTTATGAATAATACATTTCAAATTAATTATAAATAGGTATTAAATTGATGACAAAGTTTGGATTATTCAACACAATGTGCATGTAGCATTCAAATACATTTGTATACTTCCATGCACATACTTCCATATATTTTCAAAATATCAAGTTGTAAAAGCTAAACTTACATTTTCAATATGCCAATAATATCTAGATCATTTAAATTGTTAGTTTGTTAAAGAAGATATTTCATCATTCAATTTATAAACAAATATGAAATTATTAATTTATATTAAATCTTCAGCAATAAATTAAAAAAACTATTATTTTATTAAACAAATATTTCTAAAATATGATACTACTCTGCCATTCTCAACCCCTGTGAAGAAATTGTTTAGTACAGCTCTCAAATTGTTTTGAAGAAATTGTCTATATCATAATGCATTTGAAAAATAATTATACATGCTTAAAAAAAAAAAAAATTCTGAAGATTATTGAATTATATTGCTGATATAATGGTAAATAGTATTTATTATTTATATTAAATATTTTGTTATTATTTAGTACATATTTATATGAATTTTTTTATTTAATATTTAATAAGTATATCGTGAATAATAAACTTAAATAATATTGTACAAATGATGTAACAAAATATAAAATATTAATTATACATCATTTTAACTTAAATGTGTTATCATTTTATGTATAATCAATTAAAACTACTTTTTTTAATGTTCCAAATATTATTTAAATAATATTATGAATTTATTTAAATTTACATATAATCTCATTTAGTTTATTATACTGAAAAATATTTACTACCTTATGTCCTTATTTATATAACTATTTAATTATCATTATTATACATGCCATACATTATATATAAATCATACTTTGATTAGCAGCAAAGACGGCTTTTTCACCTAGCAACTTCAACTTTCCATATTCATTTATAGGTGTAGGTTCGTCAATTTCTTTATAAGGACTTTTGTCTCCATCAAACACATAATCTGTACTGATATACAACAATGGTACATTAAGCTTATCTAAGAGGAAAAAAATTATAAAATATAAAGATATTGACATCAACAATATAATATAGGTAATATAATTATTTTTTGAATATTTGTCATATTGTAAAATGGTACCTACCCCCACCTTTAATATTTTTGAGAAATCAATGATTTATTTTATTTTATTCAGATACCTTTTAGAGGTCGTTCAATTTAATTTTACTTATGCTATATAACTAGGTATATTGTAAAACATTTACTTGCTACATCAGCTAAATGAGCCGATACTCCAACATTCAGATCATAAGCAGTTTGCGGGTCATTTTCTACCTTATCTGGAAACCGTTCTGCAGCACAGTGAACAATAATGTCAGGGCAAATGGTATTAAGAAGATTAGTGACTGCATCTTTATCTAATAGATCCAGTTTTGTCAACCCAGGACTTGTCCTATAAATATATTAAATTTTAATCATCCATTTGACTGTTATACCATAAGTGTAGCGAATTGTTATCGTACTTGCCTTTTGAACGAAATCCCGCACACAGTCCAATCCGGTTCGTTCAGAAAATGTTTGTAAATAGCCCTACCCAACAAGCCAGATGCGCCGGTTAAAAAGAGTTTCATTGTTGAAAAAGAGTTAGAACAGACTTGTGGAAGATCACTCAAATTAAAAATATTATCTTAATACTGATGTTCAACTTCGAGCTAGCGTTTAAGATTTGGAAATTGGACCACCTTGGAGTGTGCGGAAAGACGAGAAACCAATTAACACTAATGTTACATTAGTAATATTTAATATTTACGTTCAACATTGACCGGCGAATAGCGACCGTGAAGTGTGAACGTCATAAATAATAGATATGATTAAATTAATAATTTATTATCGTAAAACTCAATTTACTATTTTGCTCATGTAATCAATGTATCAAGGTCCACGATTCTGTTTTAGTTTAATACATTCTAGTGAAAGTATTTATATTTTATAATAATCACTTATATAGTAATTAGTAAAGACGTATAGAGGAAAACATGAATGTCTAAGACTCCAGGCAGTTCTATCTCCTAATAGTCCTAATCTATACTATTACTATATATGATTTTATGATATCATTATGATTACCTATATTATGTTGCTGTTAAAAAACAGCTGACATGTTATATTCGTATACTTATAGTAGTGTAAACGCTATTCTCCATTGCTGCCGCTATACTTACTACTTAGCACTTTAGTAGTGACACATCTATATGATGATTGATGACTATAGTCTGCAAGTTTCCAATTTTTCTTACCAAAAACATGCTTTCGTACTTGTACTACTTGTAGTGATCACTGTGTAGGACACTGCGATCTTAAGACGTATTGAGGAAGGTTGGTATAATTAAAATAAAAGAACATTTTACTTTACAAGTTACAAATAAAATGTATATTTTATTTGTACAATTTTAAAACAATTAAAATAAAATCTAAAACTCACTGTCGTAAGCACGTTGTGCACAGTGCCATATTTATACAAGGACAAATGGGGCAATTGTACTGGGCCCACCGATTTCAAACAAATACAATTAATTGTATTCCTTTTTATCATACTTTAGGAAAACAAAATAGACATGAATTTTACTTAAGTATTTTGGTAGGATATTAAGTATAATGACTTTTTCCCGAAAACGATGGCCTTAAAGCTAAAATTAAATTTGACTTAAACATTAAAAATTTAGTTTGATATATACGTGTAAAAAATAATAATCAAAATACTAATTTTTATTTTTTTTAAATAAAACGTTGATTTTTAAATTTGTTTTGTTTGTTTTTAACTTGAATAAATGTTAAACATTAATTAGACACATTTAAGGTGTAATGTTCTTGCATATTAAATAATCATATTTTTGACAATTAAATGTTATTCTATGATCCAACTACTCATTTATAAACAGCTAATTACATATAACATTAATTAATTTATTTTTTTTATACCTATTAGATAAAAGTGATTAACAAGTCATAATTTTTAATAGGATTCGCAACAACACAATGATCTGATTGTTGAGAAATGCTTGGTGCACTAACAGTTTTATGTTAAGCTAAAAATAATTTTTTTCGTGCATTTTCATAAAATAGAGAACGATTATCTATATGACATCAACCATATTGTTATGTGTAGATGTTGATAGACTTATAAAAGGCAATAATAATATAATAAACAATTTAGAATTTTTAAAAGAGTTAGGAATTAATATTTTTATTAGTTATTATTTATTGCCATTTTTATTGAAATTAAATGGTACTGCTTCTTTTATTAATTGTTTAGTATAATTTAAGCTGGTACATGATACTTACATCGTAATCTTCATTTCTAAAATGAAGCTCTCAAATAGTTATGATGACTGTTATTTTGCTTTTTAAGTTATAGTGAGACGGTGGATTTGGTGTATTGTTGAATGACTGGTTCTAAAACCAAATTGTGAGTGAGGTATTATATTCTGTGATTTTATTATCGGTCTTATTCTTTTCAAGATAATTTTTTCAAATATTTTTCCCAAAGTAGGAAGAAGACTGATTGGCCTGTAAGAAGATGTTAAATGTTTTGGTTTATGAGGTTTGTGTATGAGAATAACAATGAAAAACTTCCATGTTAAAGGGAAGTAGGAGAGCCTCAACATGGAGTTGTAAATGAATGTGAGTAAGATTATTGTTTTATTTGGTATATGTTTGAGCATTTTGTTTGTAATTAAATCATATCCGGGTGATTTTCCTATTTTTAGTTTGTTAATTATTTGTTTAACTTCATTCGGAGAGGTGTGCTTTGCTGGAAGATTCATAGGTAGTGGACTATTTAAAAAGTTTTTTATTATGTTTAATTGTTCAGGATCTGGATTTATGTTTGGGTTAGGAGTGAAAATTTTTGAGAGGTGGTTCCCAAAAAGATTGGCCTTATCAATATCTGAAACCGCTAGTACACCGTTCGGATAAAATTGTATCCAAGATACTGCCCAATCTTGATTATTGCTGTATTTTCTCCATTGTTGATCCAATATTATCAAAAATAATTAAATAACTCTCTATATAATAACCAGTTTTTGTTTTAAAAAGGTAATTAAATATTAACTAAATGTATTTATAAACAGTAAATTTTTATAGTATAACAATGGAGTAAGGCTGTATTTAGTCTCCATAGGATATGGGGACCACTTTCGGGTATGGATATCTAATATGGGTACAGACCACGGACACACGGTAAAGACGTAAAGTCTCGTTCAACGTATATGTGTGGTGTGTCACAGTCCACAGATATAACTAAATATGGTTAATGGGTTGAAAAATAATTTCATACAAGTTGTAGGCTACGGCTACAGCCTACAGGAAATCACCTATAATTACTCAATTGTAATTGTATTCGCAAAATAAATATTAAATATGAAATTAAAAATCAAAATTTCAATTTATTTGAAATTAATTAATACTGCAATTAAATTATGGTATTTATAAATTTAAATGTGCTGTGCCTTTTACACATATTATAGTATTATACATTTATACTAAAACATAGTTGAACAGTCGCGGTTAGTAGGTTAAAAAATAATCGTAAAATTTAATTTTTCAAAGTATCGCATTAATGTATCGCGATACAAGATACTCGATACTTCATATAATTGTGTCGAGATACAAGATACAATTGTATCGAAGATACTGCTCAACCCTGACTGTAACAGTAGTGAAGAGAAAGACGGCCTTTAACGGTACTTTTTTTTATACATTATTATTATTATTATTATTTTAATAATAGACGATTTTATTGTGTACAGTAAATTGTATTCATTTTTTTTTTTTTTATAGATACCATTAAATACATAAAATACATAATTTTTTAACTTTAAATTACGAATTCTTATAGCGGATTTTAATTCTGGCGCGAAACAGTTTACCACCACCAATAAGAAATAGTTACTGCGTGCTACAGTCATTCGCTCTGTACATGATTTGTATATATATAAAAATGAATTTTGTATTAAATGATGTAATGATTATATTTTTATCAAAGTTTTTTTTATAAAATTTAAATAGGTTTAAAATACGCGCGCTTTTTTTTCATTATTTTTGGAAGCTATTATAGAAATTCACCATCGGGAGCATTCCGCCGTTCATTCTTCCAATTATATAAGTTATATCTACAAATATATAAAAATATAAATTAATTATAATATCATAGAACAATATTATTCGGTGATTATAATATAATAAATAAATTTTTATAAATCTGTGATCTGAACAAAGTATGATAAGTAATAATAGTTATTATGATAGTAACACAGTCAAGGTTTATAGATAATAGATAATAACGTTGATAACGCGCAACGTGTGTAGTACAACACACTACATACTACATAGTACATTTTTTAAGTATAGATTGATATTATAATTATAGCAATGTATAAAAAAATGTCATAGAACACTATTAATAATCATTGCTGTATAAGTTAAATATAAGTATAGTATCATAATTTAAATTTTTAGTTCTAACTACTCATTATTAACTTCTTGTTTTATTCTACTACTACAGAACATTAGGACAACTACTGTAGTACTATTGTATGATGTATTAATAACGATATTTCAACTTTCTGATTTCAATACATTTTGTGATTAATGTTATGACAAAATGAAAGAGTCACCAGAAACCGTAGTTATAAACCAGATTCATGAAAATGACGGTGGCGCTGCGGAAGAATCTGTTCTAAATGACATTGGAAAACGATCATTAGATAAATCAGAGGATATCTGTGAAAGAAATCTTAAAATATGTAAGGTTGAAAACGAAAATGATGCTGACCAGTCTACCCGTCTATCTAAAAGGCAGCTTAAAAAGATCCAAAAGCAACAGTTATGGATGGAAAAAAAGGCACAACGAAAGTAATATTCAATTTTAAATTACTGCAGATCTTGTAAAATTAATGTAATCTGTAATCTAAACTTTTACTTATTCTTAGGGAATTAAATAAAGAAAAAAAAGCAGAAAAGAAAAAATTGAAAGCCCAAATGCGAGAGTCTGGAGTAGAAGTGTCAAAAGTAAAGACCAACAAAATGGCAGATAGTACATGTAAACAACGTATTGTATTAGACATGTCTTACGATGACTTGATGTCTGATAAGGTAATAAGTAATAACTATTGACCTTATGTTTGTATTAAGTATTTTTTATTACTTTTTATTTTTTTAAATTGTGATTTTCTATGTCAAAAATCAAATATTTTACCTTGCCATTGTCAGTTTTATTCACAATTTAAAAAATATAATCTTTTACATGGAGGATTTTTTATTATTTGATTTTAATTAAAATATAAGACAAGTTTTACTTAATATCATAAATAATATTATTCAACTTATTTTAACAAATGAGAACAAATGTAAAATGTACATTGGTATGTTTTATTTTGAAACATCTTTAAAAATGAATAAGTTATATCTTAAAATCTCCTAATATTAATATAAATCAGGGGTTTTTAACCTGTGGTCCACGGTCCCCTAAGGGTCCGTGATACTCAAGTCGGGTTTGTCAATATATAACGTATTGTAAAAGAAAGGGAATCTAAAAAAAAAGTAGTAAAAGGGTCATGATTTCTAAAAATCTTGATCAAGTGTCCATAATCTACTAAAGGTTAAAAACCGCTGTTATAAATGATCTATTTATTTTTATTTTTTATAATATTGAATATTTTGTGACATATTTTCAAAATTAGTATAAAAGCATTGATGCTACATCATTTTATTCTTTTAGATTTAATTTCATAAAAGTTTAATAATATATTAGGTGAGACTAAATTAAAAGATTAAGCTTATATTATACCATAAATTAATTTTGTTCAATTTATTTCAAAATTATGAAATGCTTCTCTTTAACTTAATAATATTATGAAAATTATTGGTAAATTAATTTTATATCTCCATATTTTAGCTTATTTTCGCATAATAAAATTCTTATTTTACTTTTTTATACTGCTTATAAAACCAAATCTTACAAATAAAATTGGTATTAATATTTAAATATTTTATGTTCTTAGGATTTATGCAAGTGTTCAAATCAAATATTGAGGTGTTATGGTCTGAACCGTAGAATGGATAATCCTATGCAATTATATATATGCAGTTATGAAGGAAAAATTAAAGAAATCATGGCTAAACACAATGGCTCTGAATTTTGGGATGTATGTTCATTTATTTATAGTTACATTAAAAAAAAAAAAAATCATCAAAAACTTATCATTAAAAATCAATTTAAATGCCTAAAAATTGGCACTTGTATTATGTAAAAATATTAAATTTCTCGTGATTATCTTTTTCTTTTTAATAATATATCATTTTTAATAAATATTCTATAATTTATCTGGCTTTTATAGAATATTTTAAACTCCACAATTTTAGTGGCTGTTATTATTATCTAAATATAACTTAACTCATGATAGTAAACAACCATATTATATATACATTATTTAAATTAAGTATTTCATGAACTTTTATTATTGGTTGGATTCAAAGTTTAAGACTACAGTCTATAGCCATTACCATCCCTTTATATTGCTTATACTTATTGTAAAAAAACACATTAATAGATTGTATAATACATATTTGAAGAACAAAAAAAATAAAAATATTTTAGTATTTAACTTAAATGTGTACATTTGAATAATACAATTTGATTTCATTTAAAATACCGAAAATTATAATTATTAAAATACCTATTGAACTTAATTATTTTTTCATTTAAATTAGTTTATTTATTTTTTTATTTTTGTTCAAAAATCAAAAATTTAAATATTTTATATTATTTATTTATTCTATTTTCAGATAAAATACTTAGAGGATTCATTTGATAAAGTATTCCAGAAAGAAGAAATTGTGTATTTGACCAGTGACAGTATGAATGTCTTAGAAAGTATAGATGAAAACAAAGTGTTTATAATTGGTGGTCTAGTTGATCATAATTCTTGCAAAGTATAATTGCTTAAAATTCTGTTATCTTTGTATCAATATTAAAATATTTATTTTTATTAGGGAGCAAGTTTAAAAATAGCAAATGATCTTGGTATAGCTCATGCTCGATTGCCTATTGACGAACATATCAACATGCAAACTAGAAAAATCTTAACTATTAATCATGGTAATTTTATAAGATATTTTAATTGAAAAGTCTATTTTACAAATCACATTTTACTTTATTAGCACCAATTATTGTCTTCCTTTTAAGAATATATACATTTTTATATTTAAATATGCTCTAAGAATATATCAAAACTAAAATCAATATAAATTATAGTAAAAAATTCCTGGAAAATCGCTCTGCTTTTTATAAAATTTTAAGTGCAACTCACTATTGTAATGGATATTTTAAATTTAAGTGCAATAATAAATCATTACTTAAAAAAAAAAAAAAATTCCGAGCAGAAATTCTATGTCTTTAATCTTTATATTACTATTGTATGTTAGTACTTTATTTTTCTATTGGTAATACAGTATATTAAATTTGTTTTTATCAAAAACGTTGCATATATCATAAAAAAATTATCATAATATATACTATTGTTAGTATCAATAGTCTGTATATCTTATCATTGTACTAAAGAATGGTATAAATAGGAAGATAGTAATTGTTGCTTAGTATTAATTTAAATTTTTTTATTTTTTTATTTCTTTGTAGTTAAATAATATATATATATGTATGTATGTATAAGTACTCAAATCTTAGGTATTCAAATAAATAATTGGATACATTTTTTACTATAACATAATTTACAAATTTTTGTTATTTTATTTTAATTAATTTTAAACTGAAAACATTTATAAAGAATATGACTTTAATTTCTATATTTTAAAAATTTGCTAAGATTTTATTAGAAATTTCAAGAAGATGTGGTTGCTAAGTTCAATTCTTTATCATAAACCCCCTTAAATAATCTATTATTATTAAAAAAAATTATTGTATTGCATTGCATTGTAGCATGCTACTTGAAATTTTTCTACTTTGCGAGAAAATGAAGAAATTATAGATATTGTTAAAACTGAGAAAATACAAATAAAAAATTATCATAATAATAGTAGGAACAATGATTAAGGTTATTATAAGGAGTTATAAATAGCATCAATTGAAAATAGTTACTTAATATCGATCAGAAAAAAAGTTGTATTCAGTCCAAAAACATATCATTATTAAAAATAATACACATTTTTGTATAACTAATAAATTCATCTCTTAGAATTTAAATTAGAGTCTACAAATTGTCTAATAAAAGTTAATCTTTTTCAGTTTTTGAAATAATATCAAAAGTGGTGTCCGGTAAATCTTGGAAAGAAGCATTAATTAGTACATTGCCAAAAAGAAAAATGTTCTCAGTCATAGATGAAGAAGATCTTCTGGAATTTAATAATTGTTTAGATTATAAATCAAAAATAGAAATTGAATGTCTAGAGGCAGTAAAAAATGAAAATTTAGCGGAAGAAAATGTTTCACTTGAAAATTAAATAAATATTTAATTTTAAATGAAGTTATTACCTAATAATTAAAAAAAAAAAAAACAATTGTAATCATTTATAACTTTATAAGTTGTAGGTACCTGGTCATTAAGCAATTCACTATAATGAATATGTTGGGTTTTATTGCAATGATAAATTGTTGTATAATATGAAAAACATTTTTGAGAGAAGGCAGTCAGCCTTTGTTTCTAATAATATTTTATAGTTTACTGGTTGACCCGTCACAGCTTTGCTATGTGATTGGTTGTTTATTTTGCCTTTGGACGATGATATGTAAAATCTTTTGTTTGAATTTGATCATTTAAAGAGATCGGCAAAACGGTTAATAAAAACATATTAAATTGTTTTTACTGATATTAATGATAAATATATTTTTATTAAAAATGAATACAGATACAAATGAAATGCTAATTATTCTGTTGTTGATGAAGAATTTAATAAAAATTCTGAATATATAACATTTTTTTGTTTTATTTCCTATTGAAATCAAAATAATTTGTTTAAACTATCATATTAATTTGTAGCTTATAATTTTGGCAAGTGTTTATAAATGACAAGAGTGTGTAAACACTAAACGATTGTAACTGTCATGACAAATACAATTAAATTGTGAATAATATAATATAGATCATCATAGGAATATTTGGTATAACCTTGAGAAAAAAAATTGGAAAAATGTTAAATAGTGTCGTCACAAAATGGGAACATAAAAAAGATTTGTTTTTGTGGACCTCGCAGAGGTCTCAAAAATTAATATTTAAAGCTGTAAGCAATTTTTTTGTGTTAAGTAATTTTAATCGGATTTTTTTTTAATTTGTTCCTGATCATGCAAGTATCATAGACATACATTTAATCTGATGAAATTAGTAAATAATTAATTATTTTAACGTGTAAATTGTATACCTATATGCGGTGTAAAAATAAAAAAAATAATTAAAATACATACTGTTGACATAGAAACCAATACACATACTTATTTTAAAACGCTATTATTATTAATTTTTCAAGAACTTTATACTTATTTTTATTAACAAAAATGTATTGAGACCTTCAGTAGACTGTCAGGTATAACAGTAAAAAATGTCAGTCAAATCAGTCCAGTAGTTATCTTGGTTAACGCCGTCATATTAGCATTGATTATACAATATACTAGCATTTCTCAAGCTGTGAGTCGCGACCCACCGGTAGATCGTCAATCAATTTTTGGTGGGTTGCGATCAATTTTTTAAATTATACAGATTCCAAGAAATGTATGTTGAATTAATATTATTATGTTAAAATAATATTAAATATACTAATATTAGTACCAAAAATTACGTGGTTATTAAATAATAATTCGTTGTATATTTATTTATTTCAACGGATACTAATACGTAGAATTTCGCGATAAAATACGATTAAGTCGTAGCTCAACCACGACAATAAAATTATCAGTCGTTGGTTCAATATTATTTATTAGTCATTAAGTTGTATCATCGCTGGTTAGTTGTCATTTTATTTACCATTTTGTTAAAAAATTTAAATTATATTATATTATTTTCATTATATATTTTTAATTATTAAATTTTTATTTTTTTATAAATTTACAATTTTTTTTTTTATTTAACTACTTTTTGAAAAATGAAACCATGTGGGTCGCGGTACTAAAAAAATTGAAGACCACTGCAATATACATATTGAAAGATAATGCTTAATTGTACCTGCAACTAAAAACAAATTTGATAGAATGATTGGTACATACTATATTATATATAGGTTATTACTAGGGCTCGGATATAGATACCCTTAAAAATATAGAAAAATGCTCTTTCAAAAATATATTATTTATTGTATAAATTCAAATAATTATATAAAAAAAAGTATAAAATTAAAAATTAAAAATGAGTAAAATATTAAGTTCAAAATGAAAATAATTTATTTTGCTCAGTATAGGTACTATGTATAGTACTTATGTTTCAATAAAGTCAATTTTTTAGCCTTAATACGAGAAATAGATCTAAAATATCCCAAAAAATGCATTAAAAACTCCAAAAAATGTTGTGGTAAGAACGCGGTATATTTGAAATACATTTGTAGCTTGGAAAGCATCGTGTAGGACGTTCGAAAAAAAAGACGCAAATGCATTGAAATCTGATCCCTAGCTAGTTAATATATTAGAATAATATATTAGATAATATTTTAGAATCTGTTAATCATCACCCGACACTTTTTAAATGCCGTAAAAAATCGAAATCTTTGATAATATGATACGCGGTCTTTTATTAAAACGAAAACTATTCGTCTTGAAAATCGTAACGATAAAAAAAAAAACAAATCAAATCAAAATAATTTCAGTGAAGGCATTATGCAGGTACCTAGAAGACGGAGGAAACGGTAGTCGCGGTGAATTCACCGCGGTCCGCGATATGGTAGACAGGAGAAAAAACGTCGAAAAATTAAAACGAAAAAAAAAAACGTTGACGGCGTATAATCCGTAAAGGTCGTTTACACCGTGGGAACTACTGCGGTGGTGAGAAAAAAGCGCGCCGCATCTCTCCACACCGACGATGTGCGGCGACGAAGACGACGACGACAACAACAACCGCAACAACGATAATAGTAATAATATTATAAAGCGTACGAGACGGAGACGACGACAGAGCGTAATCGACATTATAATAATGACGATGTATAGGTATACGTGAGACGTTATAAATAGACGTGCGCGCGCGAGCGGAGAGAAGAGCACGCGCGTGAGCCGCCGCCGCGCGCCTAGATATATTGCGCGCGCGCGTTTATTGAATCCGTCGCAGCGGAGGCCGTCGTCGCCAACGAAAAGAATAATATAAAATAATATAATATAATAATAATAATAATAATAATAATAATAACGATAATACGATATCCGTTCCGTGTGTGCGTGTGCCGCGCACGTACCGCATAATTTTTTTTTTTTCACTCTTAAGCGGCGGGCCTCCGCGTAACTTCTCGCGCGCGGGTGTCGGCCGGAGGGGCGCGCGTGACCGGCACGTCTGCGGCGCGGCGGCCGTCGGGTCCGCGCGCGCTTGTTCCCACGCCGATCCGTCACGTAACGCGCCCGTCGCCGACGATCCGCGGAGACGCGCTCACTGATCGTGCTCGTTCTCTCCTCGCTCTCTCGCTCGCTCGCTCCCCGTCGATCTCTCGATTTTATTACGCGTCTACGTGCCGTATACATCTATAATAATATTATATTGTACACGCGGGGGTACATCTAAGTACCGCGCCGGCACTAGTGGCCGTTACCGATACACTCGAGCGCGCGTTCAGCTCGGTCCGGACCGGTTTCACGAGCGGCGTATTAATCGTAAACACGACGCACCGGTCGGCACTACACTGGGTCACTGTCGGCGATCGTTATTTTTTATTGTATTATGTATGAGTATAATATATATTATTCGCCATCGTCGTCGTTTTGGCGTTTACCGGAGCAATCCGTTTTCGATGGTTACACGCACTCTTATATCATAATATATTGAAGACAATGTCTGTGGTTTTAAAAGACAAAAAAAATAAAATAAAATTACGATAATAACACATGTTTCGAAAATTGTTTTACAGCTTTACTATAGGAAAACTATAAACACGAGTTTCCATAGTTACTTGCGTTTAATTAAATTATCGTCGTCGTAGCGCAATTCGCATCATACGACAGATCCTGATACGGGATATAGGTACGTTCCGTTTTATGTCTACGGTGCACTTTTGACTTGTATTACAGACGTTATTCAAAAATAACAACCAAAAGTGGATAGACACCGGTGAGGGGTATAGGGGACACCTGAGAGCTTCCTCCATAAATTTAAATAGTCTCCTCCCCCTCATGAAATTGTAAATAGGTGCTATGTGCTAAACACATCCGAGGGGCGAGAACTGTATTATGTAAATAGTAATAATTATTGGTGTGTGGTCCACTTTACTTTAGATAATAAACGACGCCGCGTATCGTTGTATCTATATCGACAAAATGTTTGTATGTGTGTGTGTATGTGTAAACGATCCACAGTCCTCTTGTAGTTCTGAAATTTGATACATAGATAATCTTATACCTGAAGCCACCTCGAAGATAATTTGTTAAATTTTGGATTTTAAAGAAGGGTTCACGCAGGACACAGCTACACAGGAATTTGTTAGCTTACAAAAAACGAACATTTTATAGGTTGAGTTGTCATTTCAGGTTACAGAAAGCAAAGTAATTATTAAAATAGGAAATAATTTTAGACCTGTTTATTATATTTGGTCAAAACCACCATAAATTAATGTATTAAAAATATGTATAGCTTGAATTTAACGGAGTTTAACACAAGATAATTTTAATTGAATTATTTATTTTTTCATGAATAACGGCGATACCTATTATACAAAAATAAAATATAATAAATATTAAATAAGATTATTTTAATCATATTATTATAAAGTATCTAATTAAAAAAAAATAAAAGTAGGTATGTTGGCCATTTCATGAATCGTTATAGAAACACTCGGCTAAATAAAAATGACATGATCTAACTATGGTTTTATAACTTACAACACTTATATCACCCATATCCTTCTTCCACCTACAGGCTACAAATAAATACGGTTGTAAACGAATTTTGCAAGCTATATATTGTAAAATTTGCGATGACGATTATAATCCATTGGCGCCGTGGCGTTGAAATTGAGTCAACAGAATAATAAATCGGTTTCTTTGATGAACGCCAAGCTTTATGAAAACAATAGTAATTCAATAACACAGAAAATATTGTTAAGCACGCTGCACGTGTCAAATAATATAATAAAGCGTTAGAAAATTTCAATCGTGTCATAGTTCTATCAATCAATATACGGTTGTAATTGATACAACAATAATTCATGATATACATTTGTTTCGTTTCCGATTAACGGGTCGTAAAGAGCTAAGAGGTCACAGTCTAACACTACATTTATTGCCCCGTACTTTACTAAAATATTATCACAGATATTTTACGATTGGTAGTAAAATACCAATAGTCGCAGGAAGTAAACAGCACTTTTAAATTTTTAAGTACTGCGTAGAATTGTTTTGATTTCCTGTTTCTAATATTTCACTAATTAAATGCATATGCTCCAAAAGTTAAAAATCATAATCATCATAATAAATATAATTCAAAATCTTTAAGTCATGATTTTAAATAGGTGTCTGCAATATTGCATTGTGTAGGGCTCTATAACAAAACTGCAAGAGCATCACTTTCAACGAGATTCCACACGTCAACATAATGATAAAAATATGTCAATATATATATATATATATATATATATATATGTGTTATAATATTAAACATAAACAAATAAAGTAAACCATTCAAAATAAAAGTCTCAACATTAACCTACAAGTGTGTATATTACAACGTTCGATTTTAAATGTCTAGATTTTAAGAGTAACAGGTATTGTAGGTACTTATCTATTAGTAAAGTATTATAGCTTACTATTGTAACATTACAATTGATATCCTTTATACGTCATATCCACATCGTATGTACTCGAGTGATGACCAAAGTAATATTTAATATTGTATTATTATTTATTAGTGCTCAAAATGTAAGAAACGTATGTTGAAATAAAAAAGGTCAGCTAGTAGAAATAGCTTTATAATTAAAAATAAAGATCATTGTTTTAAACTTTTAATCCTTAACTTGATCTATAAAATGTTCTTAGATAATATTATCAATATTATCAACAAGTCAACTCTGAATTCGAATAAACAGAATTTTATCAGAATCAATATCATATATTTATAAATTATAACAAACAAAACTTAAACTTATAAGTAACTTAAATATAAAATGAGTTAAACGAAAATAGTATTTCTTATAATTATGATTGCTACGAAGATCGTAAAAAAATATATATATTAAAACGCAAGAATTCAAAACCTTAATATAATTCTCAAACAGAGTATTTAAATGTAAAGTTGTCGATAAGAGTTTAAACTATAAAATTATAAAAAATGGTAAAAATGTCAATATAACGTTCAGAATTGTTTTAAGTTCTAACAAATAAATTAGTAATTACAAAGCTAACTTGACTGCTGATATTTAAATATTATCTACTATCACTTTTTTGTTATCTATAGTTCTAAAAATACTCAAAGAAGTTTGCATGTGCCAAAACATGCCTATTATTAATTATGTATGAATTCAAAAAGCTGAGTTCCCACGTGTAATGTCGAATAATTGTTACTATTGTATATTTATTATTTGCCTTGTAGGAACAGTTAACTTCGGCTATTATTATTTATAAATTATCACTGATACATACTTTGTGATTGTCAAAAAATCTTAAATGTATCACGAGTTCAAAAAAGCCTATATACTTGACAAATATATTTCAGTCATTGGAACACTTTAGTTCCTAAATTACTTTCCCATTTAATTATTGCTATACTCGTCAGTTGCTATTTGGAAAACCTAATACAAATTATAATTTGTTGAGTAATAAATTCACGAAAATACAAAATGAACAGATGAATAAGAAACAGTAAGAAATTATCAATATAATTATAATATTTCCGTTCACACAATAATGATTTAGACATTTTGTAATGTATAATAATTAATAATATTTAATATTATAATATACTATTACTAGGTATGTTAACTCTCATGAATTTTTTCATTTGGCAACGAGTTCCAAAATAATTAAATGGTATGCTAGGTATTTTTATTGTTTTACGTGATCGTATGGTACATTAATTATACCATGACTACCATGAATTAGTGACATAAATTATGTAATTATTTATTTATTTATTAAATATAGTATATATTATAATTTTATAACTATTATACTTTATTACATCAAAATTTAACTTGAATATTTTTTATTTTATTATGTATACGAATCAAATTTCTTAAAAAGTTATATAATTTGTTGAGAGTTTACAATTTGTATTACAATTTTATAATTTGAAATGAATCGCTAACAAAATACAAAACAATATATTTACATTTGGTACGACTGTTCATCTGAAACTATAATCAAACTCCTCCATGGCTCTATAGAAGAAAAATTGAATTACATTTTTGTAGTTGTTGTCGAATTTAATCATAGTATTTCTTTTGCTACTTATATAGATGACTGTAGTAAATAAAATTCAAATTAATTATTATTTATTCATTATCTTCTGACCTCTAGTTACTATTTGTAAGTTACGCATTACCTATAGTTGTATATATGCATTGAATTACCTATATTATTGATCTTCAAACAATTTAAATTCACTCCAACTACAAATAACTCGATTAAGGAGGTAAGTAATGAAATAAGAACATTTTAAAATAATCAATATATAATTGATATGTGATAAATTCTATCTATAAAATATTATTTTATATAGTTAAGTACCTACCAATTTTATTTGCATAATTTTTTAACACATCGAAGTATTTTTGGTTAGTGTATATTTACACTATACATCTAGTTATTTTTGTTCACTCAGCTATCTGAGCGAGTAAGATTTAAATCCTTATAAATTATAAAAACAGTTATAAGTTATAATTTATAAATAATACAAATTCCTGATTTGAAATATTGAAGCTTTTATGAATATTATACTTATTTTGTTTAAAAACAAAAAATACTAATAACTCAATGCATATAATATATATTATGTAGATTTAAAACGCATATTGGTGATTTATTTTATTTTCGGGAGGTTAAAGAAGGCATTTTAAACAGTTTAAGTAAACATATATGTTCCTCGCTAAAAAAATATATATATATTCACACCTCGGTATAGTATGATATAATTTATAAAATATAACATGTTTCAAACATTTATCTAGTAATATATTTTCAATATTTTCATTGTGATAAAAAGAATTGCATAGTTTATAAATGTATTTTTGTTAAATATTTTTCTTTATATAGTAGTAATATAGTTTATCATTATTTTGTACTTTTGAAGAATTCAATTTTACATATTGTAAAACCATGGACTCATTTGAAGCTCTCTGCGATACAGATTCTAGTAAAACAGTTATTTTGTGGGCAAATAAAGTGCCTCTGGTTAAGTGCACAACTTTACCATTGCTTGAAAATCTCCATCATCGTCGTGCTAATTCATACAGAGTACCAACTGGAATAAGTGAACACTTTTCTAATTCGGTTATAAAAGCGAGCGAAGATTTTGTAAAAGAAGTGATTTCAGATTCCGAACAGGCGGTACAGTGCTATTTAAAAATGAATAAGTAAATTAGGAAACTGATAACTATATTCTTCTATATTTATTTAAATAGTATTATAGAAAATGTTATTAGATTTTTAGTTATCACTAAGTTATTATTGAAATTAGTTTAAAAATTAAAATTAAAATTCTTAAGATTGTCAAGATTAACATTAGAGTTTAGAGTATAATATAATTTATGTTTCATTTGACAAATTTTAGTATAAATATCAATAATTTCGATAATGCTATTATCAATTCAAATCCGTATTTAGTATGGGTACGAATTAAATAGACTAAAAAAAAAAAAAATAAATAAATAAATATTAAAGCTATAAATTGACAAGATGTGTAAAGTGTAATTAGTTTTCCACTGTATAGCTGTTTAAAACCCCTCTTAGTGATACCTTTTAACTTTATAAACAATAAGAATCAAAATTATAATAATTTAATTTATTTAGAATATTTAAAATAATACAAATTACGATAAATTAACCTTTAAGTCACATTTTGTAATATTTTTAGATTAGGACTTTCAAACTCTAGCTATGACAGTAAAAGTTTAATGATAAATAAGTATGTTATACAAGCATGCAAAGATAGGGAATTTTCAGAATCCAATCGTTCATTATTTTTTAACCCAAGTTGGCTCAACGAAAATGGGATTTTCGACGATCAGGTAGCTATAGAAAACATTTCTGTCTATATAAAACAGCATTGGAACTTGGACACAAAATATTTATATAGTGTTGAGAAGTCATTAATGAAAATGATTGATGCTTCTTGTCACAGTTACAAGGTAAATTTAACATATTATTTCAAACCATTAGAGATATTATACATTATACAAAGCATAAGTTTAAAACTGCTAAAATTCTAATTTATCTCAAAATGTTAATGAAAATAATTTGTATTGCCTAAACTTATTTAATTTTAAAAAGAAGCTATAAAGATTAAAAACATTTATTTTCCAATTAACTTTAATTTTTATACCCCCCAAAAAATTTGTTTAAATTCATCCCCAATACTATAAATTGTAATAATGTTAATAACGGTAGTACAACTATTTTTTAAATTTAATTTTATTAAAAATTATTACATGTATATAAAAAACATATAAAATTATATATCATTGCTTTTGAGTTTGTAAGGGTTACTGACATCTTTATAACGTTACAGGCAGAATTTTCGGTGTCTACCAATGAGTATCCGATTCCTCAAGTAACAGTAAGCGCGTATTTTACAGTGAATGTATCGCATTTACTGTCACTTCCGGCGGTGTACGTAAGTTGATAACATATTTATTAAATTAAATGCATGCTTTTATAATTTTGTTGTTTAATAAAATATTATGATGCGAAAAAGTTATTTATTGACCAACTGTATGATGCAATATGATTTGAGTATGTGTATTTTAGATAAAATATCAGTTGGAGACGGACAGACATGAGTACGTAGTAGGCAGACACTCATTCAACAAGAAACATTTCGAGCGCTTGTTTAAAACCAAACGCGACATGTACATGAAAATTAACAAATATGTCGGATGGTCGTCCGGACCAAGTCATAGTGCTGGTTTTAACTCTTAAAATAAAATACTATTTGGTTGTTTACCTGATAGACATGTCTGTTAGGACTTCTGAACGTCATAGTTTTTTAATTATTTTGTTTTTGTTTGGTACCTGAAATTTAAATTCTCACATGCATACTTTATGGATTTATATAATATAATATAAATTTATATATTGTACCTTTATTGGTTGCACATTGTATGTTTATATTATAATTAGCATAATTGTCAGTATCATTAATATATGAATAAACTTCACAAGTCTTGTCTTCTAACACCACGCCAATAAAATAAATAGATAAATTATACATTATTAAATGATTATTATGTATCTATTTATTTACTTATTATTTCGGATCAAGAGTCGTCAGTAAAGAGTAGACGTTTTACACAGCTATCTATTCACCTAAATAATAATTCATTTATATAAATATGTAATTTATTTTTATGAAATAGTAAATTGTTTTATGTATGTAAACCATAAATGGTACTTTCAATTTTAGTTTATGAATTGTTTTCAGAAAATAACAAATGTTTTCGGATTTCAAGACAAGAAACTTTTCCAATCTTAATATTGTTTTAAGTTAAAAAATCATCATTTTTATTTTCCAGTAGTATGAATCTAAAAAAAATTGTTTTTAAATTAAATTACTCTTTCTTTTGTATATTATAATATGTATATATTTTAGAAGGAAAGTAAACATTACCTATAAATTATGACGTGCATCCTTTCTCTATTTAACATGCAGGGTTGCATCTTGTAGAGTTGTATAATGAATTCTTGTGCAATAATTAATTATCACTTATTAATTAAAAAAAACCTATATTTTTAATTGCACAGGAATGTAATGACTTAATTGAATAACGTATGCGTATAGGTAATTATTAAAAATGAATGATATAATATTATATATAATTACACTAGTAACTAAGTTGACATTTCAGTAAACCTATAGGCATAGGTTATTCAAACTAAATGATAGGTATAAAGTATTTATACAAAAATGACCAATACTTGCGGCAATTTATAAAGCTTCTTAATGTTTTGGTTATATCCTTATTTTCTAACTAAAATAACTAATGACTTTGTTTGTTCAATGTCGCTTGTCCAATATTAAGATATCCGTGCATAATATAATTTATTTTCATTAATTTCACATTACCAACAACTTGGGATGACGTGTTAGATATTATTTTCTTAAACTCTTTAATATTATATTAGAAGATAGTTCGTAATAGATTTATTAGAATGAAATCAAATATAGTGATTAAAACAATATTAATTCGTAGTACGTGTAAATGTATTACTGAATATCGTTTGTGTGCACATTATTAAAAAAAAAAAAAATAAACAACAGAAAAAAAGGAAATCCCTCTTTAAATCTTAAGAAAGACAACGATAGAATTTAATTGTAGTGGTATATGTGTGTTTGGCAGAAGGAGGGGAGTTCAGTCCTAGGTGGCCAGAAATAAAAATTTCGGGAGTGTCTACCTAATAAAAGTTTAACTACACTATATAAGACCTGTGCCGTCGCCGCCACAATCCCCGTGTACAACACATGGTGAAAGGCGGCTATAAAGGCGGTTTTTTACGACCTACGGAGAAATATGTTGAGTATAGGTGGGGAAAGAATAAGAGTAAAAGAGAAGAAAAACTTATATATATATATAGGGGCAAAACAAAAAAATTACCAATTATTCCATCGTGTCGCCGGGTGTCGTTTTGGTGTCCGTGATTTTTTAATAAGTCATAAAATATGATTATATTATTAAAAAAAAAAACTACACGGCGCAGAATAATATAAATGGTGGCTCCGCGTTTTTTTCGTTCGTTGCCGCCGGTCGTTAAACAATATTTTAAGACCGATACTTTTTATTTTGGCTTTTTATATTTTTATTTTTTGACAGCAGTCTCACCAAAAATAAACGTAAACGTATTATTTTTTTTTCAATTTTTTATTCTTATTTATTTATTATTCTTATTTTTTTTTTTTTTTTTTTTTTATAGGCTCCACGAAGCAATAACATCAGTCCATCCGATAACCGGTTGCGTTGACGAGAGGGGGGTGGCCACATGCACAAAAAGTGCACACTCCCCCGACCCAAATATGGTTTCGTGCAGATTTTTCTCGATTTATTTTTAGTGTATTTTTTTGCACACATCTGCGTTCTTTTTAATTAGTCACAGTGTTTTCATAATATACAGACTTCTCTCGATTGGCGACAGCAATGAGAATATTACAGAAATAAGTAAACAGCATAATGGAGAAGTAAAAAAAAAAAAAATAATAGTCTACGTATTCGTATACGCTTTTACAACATTAAATTAAAATTTTTTTAATTAGTTTTGCCTATGAATGGTTTTTGATAAAAAAAAATCAATTGGACCGAATTAGTATTTTACAATCGGTATAGGTTCAAATACCGGTATGCTAGAAATTCTTTTTTTAAATTGTGTGCATATAATTTAACAGTATTTATACGATTTTGTATACAGTAATATAAACTGCCAATTAAATATTTGGTATAGGTAGTTAAAAAAGTAAGTTTCGTGTTCGATAATGGAGTATTTTAGATATTTTAATTATTAAATTCATGTCCAACTCCAAACAATAGTATAAAAGCTAATGTATCAAAATATTTTAACTAATAGTTATAACTTCTTAGTATTTTTATTTTTTTATTTTACAATCAAAACTGTGGTTTACATGAAAAAACCACACACAATTTTACAATCAAGAAATGTATTTAAAATAACAATATGTGTACCTACCTATTTCGAAATCAGCCTAGAAATTGTATGTATATAATTTTTTACCTATACCTATACTTTTAAATAGTAATTTTCATTCATTCCATAATATATATATATATAATATAAATAAAGGTACATTTCTACGTTGAAATATTATTGATCTCTAACTAGATAAAAGTAAACAATAAATTACAGGAACTTAAAATACATTTACATTTACAAGAATACTTTAAACAGTTAAAGAAAAAATTTAGTTTTGAGCTTATAAAAATGTATCCTAAAAAATATCCTAAAATGTGTGCATTACTCGTATTATAACAAATCAAGCTTTGCTTTACAAGTAAAAATATTTAAATTTATATCTAAACTAATATGAAAACTATGAATTAATATTTTCTTTTTCATAAAGTATATCAATTGTATTTCAGATATTTTAAATAACTTAATCCTAACCTAACAATACCAAATATTTATTTTCAAATTTTTATGTTTTTTAACTATTTAAAAATGTCATTTTTCATCTCTAAATCTACCTTAGATATAAACTATCTATAGAACATACTAGTATGTTATAGTACCTATTAAAATAAAGCAATAATTCAAAATGTAAAAAAAAACAAAACTGACGGTATAAAAAAATATAGGTTTTATTTTCGGTGCATATTGTAAAAATTAACAAAAAACGCATACGATCGTCTTTATAAATAAACAGCTTCTGAAATGACATTTTATAATAATGCAGTCAGTAAAATATCCATTTCTTTAAAACGTCTACAATTGAACATAAAAAATGAAGAATAAAATAAGCCAAACTTAACGAGTTTTAAAAAAAATAAAATTGAGAATAAATTGTTTTTAAAAATAATAATAGGTATAAATAGCAATCATAGCGTCACGGGCTCGCAAACACTTGAATCGTAAATTATTAGGAATATTATTCTGCTAGTTCGTACATAATAAATAAATGATAATTATTGAATGGCGTATTATTTTTTTTTTTTTTAGAAAAACACGAAATAGTTTATTATTTATGATACCGACGTTGTACGGTCGGTTAGAATATACGTCATGCAACGTGCAAAGATTATAGGAATAGCGTAAATTACCTCGGAAACCCCAATCTAATGTGAGTATAGATTTTGCGTGAGTAAATCGAAAACAAGATTCACGTTTCGGTACGCTCAAAGTCGTTATTCGTATAAGTAACATTATTAAATATTTATTATTATTTATATCCTACCTATTATTACTACGCCCACACGTGTTGTTTCCGTCTTATTATAAAAAAGAAAAAACTATAGGTATATATTATGATAAAACATTTATGACCAACAGAAAGCAGGACCTATTTTGTGTTATAGCGCTTTAATATTATAGAGTTAATTGACTTATTATCAAACTCATCAGATAGCTAAGAATATTATCTGTGTTTGAACGTTGAGTTTTATGTGATATTTTTATTTTTAAACGAGTTATAACTTATAAACATTATTATAGTTAACAACACGAAATAGGGTCTTCGCTGAACGTAAGTTTATTTTAAATTATTGTTGTAGGTACGTCTGTAAGACGGACGCAACACATTTACACATCCTCCTCTAGTCCTCTTAATATTGGCGCCCCCGAGGGCTCTCGTTATTAATCGTCGTTTGGCTGTCCCGTTCGCGTTCTCTCTCTCCACTAACCGTCTTGCTAAAAAGCGGTGGCTGTGAACTTTTTTCCCCTTATTATGTACACGTACATTATATTATTATTATTAAAAACCGGTATCGGCGGGCCAGAGGCCGTCGCGCGTTGTATACACATGTATATTATTGTACACACACATGGACGAAAATCTACGTTTGTACACTCATTTATACATATTATATTATTTCACACACACATAATAGATCGTCGCGCGCAGGAAGACTGTGGCGTCATACGCACATAATATATCGTTATTATCGCGCGGCACTATCAACCGCGCGTGTGGTGCCGCCGTGAGCGCGCGCGGATGAGGCCGGTCGTGAATTACATTATAATAGTATTAAATTTTTTCCTCTCCATTTGTTTTTTAACGACCGGTCGCTTTATATACAGGGTGGTTATAATATTTGTACCCATGATGGGCAAATCCACAACGATTGTTTGAATTGTCTTGATACTATATCATTTACTGCTACATATTTCGTCTCGATGATTTTTCTAATAAAAATAACGATAAAAATAACTCACAATTTCTGCGAGACGTTACCGTTTAACGGTTTGGTGTGGGAGAATCG